AATAATGTTACTGTTATCTTTTCCTTTTTTGATCTTTTTTTAAAAGCTGTCTTTTCGGCTATAACAGCATAATGGCCTACATTCCAATGATTGAAAATGATACGAACATTATATATATTTTTACAAAACAGAAATTAAGTATAAAACGTTATTGTATCAGTGTATTTTGTCTTCGCCTCTTTTAAAAGGCATGTTTCGTGGCATTGTGAATTTGTATTTAGGTTCTTCAGTTAGAGAAGCACTGCGCATGTGGTTCTTTAGTTAGAGAAGCACTGCCAAGCGATCCTCTTAACTTGTTAGATGTTCATAACCGTATTATTTTTAATTGTATTATAAAATGAAAATGATGTGTTTCCTATAATGTACAATTACCTGTTTCTCATTTCTCAAGTAATGGTCATATATGATTATTACAATTAATTTACACAGAAACTTAATAGTAATGGAAATCGCCCCTTTATTCAGTCATGTATTGGTAACAGTTTGGCAATTTATTCAAAGTGCATAAGAAGTAAGTTTTTAGGGCGCTATGGGATTAAAGATTGATATTTATTTTTCATTTCTGTATATTTCAACGTTTTTCAGAATTTGTTCATATCCAAAATAGCTTCATCATACTTTATTGTATAAAACTTCACACAAATTAATCTACGCAGATCGAATTCTTGCATCTGGCCCATTATATTATATCTGACATCGGTAATGAGTCATTGTCCTTCAAGCCTCGCACATCATGCATATACCTTTTTCCTTGTCTTACCTACAGTAGCACAATAAATTGAAATGTATATGGTATTCCTATTGACATTAATCTCGTGTCTGTAATGTGTTCAAGTGTGTACATTTATTTATTGTTTCCTGGCCCGTATTTAGATATCAGAAGATAATTTTGAACCACCATGCTCCAGGACGGTTGTAGAAAACCAGTGCTAGCCTGATCTTGTAATCTAGCATTTTTACCTGTTCATATATTTTAGCCGATTTTTTTCATATTTATATATTTCTTGTTTTCTTGACTTTGCTTAAAACATTTAAAATTACGTTGTTTGATTTTGTGTCAGAACTAAAAACATTTGTTACTGATGATTTCATGTAATTTATTCCTCGTATACAGGAATAATGTCTAATTTACAACATGTAGTTGACTGTTATTCTCTCTTTGTTTTTTTGCTTCAATTGAAAATAAAAGAATTTGCAATAAATTCAGTTTCAATGTTCCTTTATTTATGTCTTTATATCAAAAACTGTCCTGTCCTGAAGCCCAAATAATTTGCTTTGCTTTCTTCGTCGAGTTGTTCTAGTACGTCACAAGGTAGATAACTCTGCTGGTATTTTGGCATTGTTTACATGAAATACTGATATAAGAAAATCTGTTGCAGACAAAAAACTGCAGGCATTATTGTTTGCCAATTTCCGAGGCAATTCGCCTCAAGACGTAAACACGAAGCAATTACATTACATAAATTAACAAATAAAGAAAAATTACATAATGTACTCTCTAATTATAACTAGTCCCTGTTCAAGTTTATCACCACCCCTGTCAGGTCCTGGGATAGCATTGAAAACCCAGGACATCCTATACAAACAAGTGTTGTAAGCCTATAAAAAGCAGAGTAGAGTACCATGTATTTGGCCAAGTAAAGAAATTCCAAGACTTTTAACTTTTGTTATAGTCCTTAGATCCCGGAGACAAGGACGTATAGAGACTTTTTTCACGAAATTTCACTATGATAATATTTTGCATAAATGATACAGGGTTTACATTAGGCCAGACAAAAAATACATCTTTCCTGTAACAAGTTGGAAAACATTAGGGTTAGGTCGGTAGGTAGGTAACACATTTTATTTTAACAAACTGGAAACACCAAATAGTTTTGTTTGGCCTAACAAGAATTCCCAAGAGCATGCTATTCCTGTACCTTGATGTAGTTATAAAAGTAAAAAGAAAAAAAGTCATACAACTAGAATATACCAGGACTTGTCATGCCTAAACATCAGAAAATCATTTCATTTTCAATACAGTTTTAGATTCATAAACGGTTTATTGAAGAACAGTTGCGATATACGGTACACGTGCACAATCAAATAAACAGAAAATAAAAATTTAATATTGAAAGTAAATTTTAGTGGATTTGGGCCAACACTGATATTTCCACTTCATTCACAAGCCGATTATTTTTCAAATTATCTCAAGTCAGAGTTTATGTTGAGAAATACTGACTAAATGTTAATTTACAGTTTATTTGATGTATTGATGTTTCAATTTCATCAATACAGTTTTCTTGAAGTGTAGAGTGAAGCCTTGAAATGTGTTCATCGTGTTATATATAATTGATCCAAGGTAAACCACGGAGGGCCCAATGGGGTAATAATTAAGGGACCTGATACGATACATTTTATAGTTTGTACTCTGGCATCTGTATCAAATATTTTGTTTCAGCCTTTAAACCAATGGATTTTAATAATACATTTTTGGCCCAATCTCTCATCAACATAAGGGTTCTGTCCCCCATCCCCCTACAAGTTAACATCCCCTTCACCTTACACGCGTATACACAAAACTAGGATAAAACATGTCCAGTGGTTCCAAGGAAGTTAAACATTTGAAATGTTAAATGTCACATGCTTCAGAAGATTATTATTATTACATAATGTGAATAAATTCGTGTTAAATTTGAATAGATGTTTTTTTTTTTTTTAGGATGCAAACTATATAACATAACTTCAAAGTTGATGCTCTTTCCAACAGATCGCCCTATGGCACTGATGGTGCTGTTAGTTTTAGTTATAGCTTGTCGCATATGTGTTGTAAAACTCCTGGTCTCTTACAACATCCAGATCTCTTTCGGCTATAATATTTTCAAGTTTGATAATTTCTCCTCCCTTTCCCGTTAGGCGACATCGCGGTTCTCCCTTCTTGTGTTTTGTTGTTACGGTCGTAACCTTACATTTTAGGATAGAACTTACATTTTAGGATAGAACTTACATTTTAGGACAGAACTTACATTTTAGGACAGAACTTACATTTTAGGATAGAACTTACATTTTAGGATAGAACTTTTAGGATAGAACTTACATTTTAGGATAGAAATTGCAATTTTCCCTACCAGTTTATCGAAAAGAGATCATCTTGGAGTATGCTTTCATCGTTATCGTCACATATTGTTCGATATAATTTAGTGTCGCCAACAAACATCAAGGTTGATTAATGTATATGACGAAAAGTATTGGACCGGTACACCATATTTTGGAAACTCGGTGTAAAACAATGAATGAACCTGCTCCAATCAAGAAATTCTTCCTTCAAATTGCCATCGCAGTCTTTATCAAGTCTTTGTATACATAGTAGGCATATTTGGCATGAGGCAGAGCAGAGGACATCAAAAGTTTGAACAACATTTGTTTGGTGATAATCAACAATACGATATGAATCTAATCAGAAAGTATTCCACACGTGCGTTGTACTACCATATCAGAACGAAAACTTCCCTCATTGCCATCCCTCAGCTGAAATACTTTATTCACATATTCATTTTAATCGATTGCATTTCAGAGAAACATAACATTGTTTCTTTTAAACTCAATAAATTCCAAAAAGACAAAGATATTGTAACAGATGCCCAAGGATGAAGAAACTCCGGACAAAAAGCAGGAGGGCTTACTAATGGATCGGAGGTAATAGCAGTCCAAAGTGTATACAAGATATTGATCTCGGCCATTAGAAATGGCCTAGCTTCAAATGCAAGTTCCTAAAGCATCAACGTCCTAAAATACAACGGCTTCAAATGCAAACAAACACAACAGTTTCTGGAACAATATGATCGTTACCAAATTACATCTCTTGAGCTGGAAAAAGCTCCGAAAGTCGATCTAAACCCCTAAAACACGTTAAATTACTCTGAACACCTTAGTTTAGGTCCAAATATAGCTGTATCAAATTATCAGGTCCCTGTGGCTGGGAAGGAAAGATTGGCTTAAACCTTAGACAACGCATTTTGGAAGGTTCAATGTAATACTTGCAGAGCACTGTTCCCGGAAAGAAGCTTAAAATAATCAGAAGCTCTTAGAAGTTAGAAAGAGCCCATCTTGTATAATTAAATCTGTTTTATCATATGGACTCCACCATTTATTACCTGATGTTTACAATATTTTCCCTCGGATGATATCTTCGTTACTTAAGGGATGGACCACAGGGGTTCGTTACAAATGTCTGTAATACACATATGCTATACCGATATGGATCACATATGGAACGCCAAATGAACATTTATTCATATAATTGCACCTACCTTAAACAAATTAAAGGTAAAATTTAACTAATGTTAGGTTCAAATATGACGAATTAAACCTATCTTCAATTGACTTGTATCCATCTCCAATTGAATTGTACCTATCTTCAATTATTTGAATATATGTTAATTTGGCGTTCCATATAGAATATGGATCGCCAAATTAAAATATATTCAATTAATTGTACCTATCTTCAAATGATTGAAGATAGGTACAATTAATTGAAGATATGACCAATTTGATTAAAGATTCAATGGAGGAGATGTTGTATTTGTACCTAGATTCAATTCAATTGGAGATGGGTACAAATAATTGTACCTATCTTCATGTAATTGTACCTCTTTTCAATTATTGTACAATTAAATGAATATATGTTAATTTGGCGTTCCATAAACACAGCTAACATAAATGTGTATGTTTATGTTGCAACGAACCCCTGCGGATGGACCGATTGAAACGCTCAAATGGTTGTTCGAACGTCTCCATTGAGGGGTTTGTAGTGCCGTCATTGCAATTTGTGTTCCATAATGCTGTGTGTATATATGTCTTGTTTCCATTGTATTGTATACTGTTGAGCTGTAAAGCTCAAGATAATAAAAAAACCCACCGGAACTGGAATCTTCACTGCCGACTGGATTTGATTGCAACTTTGTATCCATGATTGCTACGTCATCATGACGTTTGGCATTAGTGCTGTAATTCTGATTTCCTCAATTGTTTCTTTCTCCACATAAAATGATTGGCACGCTTTTGTTGAATCTATAAACTGTCTCATTGCCGAGATTTTGGCCATCTATTAAACCCATATCCATCCAGGAACCCATTTCCATCCAGAAACCCATATCCATCCAGAAACCCATATCCAACCAGAAACCCATATCCATCCAGGAACCCATATCCATCCAGGAGCCCATATACATCCAGGAACCCATATCAATCCAGGAGCCCATATCAATCCAGGAGCCCATATCCACCGAGGAACCCATATCCATCCAGGCGCCCATATCCATCCCGGAACCCATATCCACCCACGAACCCATATCCATCCAGAGCCCATATTTATCCAGGTGCCCATATCCATCCAGGAGACCATATCCATCCAGGAGGCCAAATCCATCCAGGAACCCACTTCCATCCAGAAACCCATATCCATCCAGGAACCCATATCCACCCAGGAACCCATATCCACCCAGGAACCCATATCCATCCAGGAGCCCAAATCCATCCAGGAACCCATATCCATCCAGGAGCCCATATTTATCCAGGAGCCTATAGCCATCCAGGAGCCCATAGCCATCCAGGAACCCATATCCATCCAGGAACCCATATCCACCCAGGAGCCCATAGCAATCCAGGAACCAATAGCCATCCAGGAACCCATATCCATCCAGGAACCCATATCTATCCAGGAACCCATAGCCATCCAGGAACCCATATCCATCCAGGAACCCATATCCATCCAGGAGCCCATATCCATCCAGGAACCCATATCCACCCAGGAATCCATAGCCATCCAGAAACCCATAGCCATCCAGGAACCCATAGCCATCCAGAAACCCATATCCATCCAGGAACCCATATCCATCCAGGAACCCATAGCCATCCAGGAACCCATATCCATCCAGGAACCCATATCCATCCAGGAACCTATAGCAATCCAGGAACCCATATCCACCCAGGAGCCCATAGCAATCCAGGAACCAATAGCCATCCAGGAACCCATATCCATCCAGGAACCCATAGCAATCCAGGAACCCATATCCATCCAGGAGCCCATATCCATCCAGGAACCCATATCCACCCAGGAACCCATAGCCATCCAGGAACCCATATCCACCCAGGAACCCATATCCACCCAGGAACCCATATCCATCCAGGAGCCCATATTCATCCAGGAACCCATATCCACCCAGGAACCCATAGCCATCCAGGAACCCATAGCCATCTAGGAACCAATAGCCATCCAGGAACAAAAAGTCTCCTCTTACAGACTACATTTAATCTATAAACTGTCTCATTGCCGAGATTTTGGCAATCTAGAAACCCATATCCATCCAGGAACCCATTTCCATCCAGAAACCCATATCCATCCAGAAAACCATATCCATCCAGGAGCCCATATCCATCAAGGAACCCATAGCCATCCATGAGCCCATAGCCATCCATGAGCCCATATCCATCCAGGAACCCATAGCCATCCAGGAGCCCATATTCATCCAGGAACCCATATCCACCCAGGAACCCATATCCATCCAGGAACCCATATCCACCCAGGAGCCCATATCCATCCAGGAGCCCATAGCCATCCATGAACCCATATCCATCCAGGAGCCCATATCCATCCAGGAACCCATAGCCATCCATGAACCCATATCCATCCAGGAACCCATAGCCATCCAGGAACCCATAGCCATCCAGGAATCAATAGCCATTTAGGAACCCATAGCCATCTAGGTACCAATAGCCATCCAGGAACAAAAAGTCTCTTCTTACAGACTACCTTTATATATTTGTTCATGACCGTTCCAGAATATATTTTGATTGACCCATAAAAGTTCGTGGAAAAGGTCAGAACTGATTGTGACACAGTTTTGGATCCTGTTACGACACCATAAATCCCACAAAAATAATCGTATTTAAAAAATAAAACTGACGGAAATTTGGTGCAGGAATAATTGAGAGAGATTGTTATATAGAGTATTTGGCGCAGGAATAATTGAGAGAGATTGTAATATACTGTGTTTGGCACATGAATAATTGAGAAAGATTGTAATATACAGTATTTGGCGCAGGAATAAGTGAGAGACTGTAATATACAGTATTTGGCGCAGGAATAATTGAGAAAGATTGTAATATACAGTATTTGGCGCAGGTATAAGTGAGAGATTGTAATATACAGTATTTGGCGCAGGTATAAGTGAGAGAGATTGTAATATAGAGTATTTGGCGCAGGTATAAGTGAGAGAGATTGTAATATAGAGTATTTGGCGCAGGAAAAAGTGAGAGATTGTAATATAGAGTATTTGGCGCAGGAAAAAGTGAGAGAGATTGTAATATCCTGTATTTGGCGCAGGAAAAAGTGAGAAATTGTAATATAGAGTATTTGGCGCAGGAATAAGTGAGAGAGATTGTAATATCCCGTATTTGGCGCAGGAAAAAGTGAGAGATATTGTAATATATAGTATTTGAGAAACAATGTATGCAATAGGCATATGGTTGAATATTTCCATAAACCTATACAGGAAATTTCTCGACATTATGAAAATTGTTTTAAAATTACAGCATTTCGACTGACAATTTTTTTATTTGCAGAAATCTAATGCAATGATATCTATAAAACATAGCAATTGACGAGGAGTCATCTGAAACTGGAGGGGAGGAGCCTCACGATGCCAGTGAAAGAAAAGAAAACCCAAAATATCGTTGTTTCACTTTATTGTCGATTTCATCATATTTTTTTTCCAGAATTCATATGTTTATAAAGCTCCAAGGTAGAAATATTTATTTAAGTTGAAATATAACCCCCCAATGGATGCAGTATTTATGTCCTGCTTCTGTTTTCCAGAGAATCTCCGGGCCAAGTCATTCAAAAGTTGGTTAGCTTTATCACAGTTTAACAACATTTTTAAACCTTTAAAAGTTTTGTCAATATACAAGAAAAAATCTCACAATTTTGCATGTACATTCACTCAACTGAATACTTGATATCTAGAAATTGTTACTAATTCAAAGGTTGAGTCTTAAAGATACACAAAATTAAGATTTGCAATAATCACTGATTAAGCTCATCACCTTTTGAACAACTGGGCCCTGGTGTCGAGACTGTCCTTAGAAGTCCAGACTTGTAACATGTCTTGGTGCAAGGACTTCCCGAGATTTCCTGGCGATGTTTTTGGGTGTGCTGTCCAATATTACCTGGACCTTAAACTGATATGATCCATGGATTCTTGTACATGGAAATCCTGAGATAATATCAATATTGGTGATATTTCCGGATTTCTTACCCCATAGGTAATAGTTTTGCTGATCAATTTTCATGATTCTCTCCTTTTAACTTCGAAATATTTTTTTCTGTTTACCATCCAAAGAAAATGTGTATATTGCAGAGTCTTATCTTAGGCTGGTATACTGAACGAAGTATAAAAGTTGTCAGTGTGGTTATTGATATATTTATTAATACATGTACACATCCAATAGTGTTCAGATCCAATGCCAATATCAGCTGATATTCTCATATCTATGTATATAAACATGTATGATTAGAGGTTTTCTTTTAACATGCACTCTTGATCAATATTAGAATATTTTTTGTATAATGATATTATTATGCAATAATGTACTTTGACCATTGCCAGGAGAAATACACCAGAAAGTTACTGAGTGTTGATTATACAGATGTATTTGTATGTGCTTGGAACAATACACCTTGCTCACTCACGTTCACACATCCTCACTGTCACACGCAAAAACAATGGCATTAAAAACACCCCAACAAACATACATAACCACAAGTCAATAGTCAAAAAAACTCTGGGCAGATTTTTCTATTCACTGATCTACATCATTGGTTTGTTGTTAATTTCCAGTGGTAAACACATTTGTTGATTTAAATTCATATTCGGATATTTACATAATGTATATCAAAACACATCAACAACAAAAAAGATGAGATATGTTCAACTTATCCAGCTGCATATTTGTGTGTGTGAATTGGCGAATTCCTTACATTGAGGAAGCTAATTACATGTGTAACAAATGAGACTGATTGTAATCTTGTTTACCAGGTGTTAATGTATCTTGTTAATCGACGACAGACCGATATGAAAAAAGTCGATAAAACGTCAGAATAATTCGGACTAACAGCCGGTGCTGCCATTTCAGTGCTCACAGCTAGCATTCAACAATTCCAGCACTGCCCAAACACTAGAACTAGACTAGAACAAGCGGAGTAACGTATCTTGTTCAAAGATACAACACAGTACCGTGACGTGACTCGAACTCGCAACCCATCGGTCACGAACCCAGCGTCCTATATAAAAGTAATGATTGTTTAAGATTTACATAAGAGTTATGATTGCTGAACATTTTTTCAGTAAGGTTTACATACGAGTTATGATTTTTTCAATAAGGCTTATATATGAGTTTCTAAAATTATTATAATGTAATAAGAAGCAATGTCTATAATTTAAGTGTTAATGATATTTTTAAGATGTACATGGACATTTTAAACTATCAATGACCAAATTGTTAAAAAATGTATTTCAGGGTTGAAAAATTCCCAACAGAAGGTAGATTTGTACTAAAATCTTCAAAGTGCTGCACAATGAAAATACTATAATAGGCTTAGACTGTTGTACAGTGTTGATAACATTGATCCTGATAAAAATAGCACACCAGAACATCTCTGATATCCTGTAATATCAGAATAGGGTACATATTCACACACCAGCATAACAGGCATACCGTACCAGAATGTTGCAGCATAAACAAAGACACTCAAGAAAATCCAAATATACATGTACACACACTAGATTGGTTTTGTACACCTATACAAAATGCTTCAGTTATACATAATAAATATATAACAAAGTTGTAAATGCATAGAAAAAAGGGACTGATGACATAAATGATCATACAACATGTAAGTCTAAATATCAAAATAAATCACAAGGACACATCTGAAATTCCACTTCATGTGAACAGTAAGATCTTCATTAAAATAATTATCAAAGACATTTTTACATACTAAGTTGACAGTCAAACTGAGACTTTTACAATACCTGTATCAAGATAAGTTTCCCTGGAGGGGATCTTAATATTAGTTAATCCAGAATTCCTGATTCAATCTTTTCTCTGTTTAAATAATTCCAAAATAATGATATACTAATCAACACATATGACACGTTTTTTAGCTGATGTAATGCTGCACCAATATCAGCTGTGGTCAGACATCAATATACAGAGCAGTCTAACTGTCACTGTAAAGGACATCAGCCCAGTGGTTCAGACATCAGCCCAGTGGTTCAGACATCAGCCAAGTGGTTCGGACATCAGCCCAGTGGTTTTGTCTCCCTCATCATCCAGTCCAGTGCTGCCTGCTTGCCCTGTCGTCTTAGCTCACTGCCCACTTCGTCCTGGACTGTGCTGTGATATGTGTTAAGCCACTCTACCTGTAAAGTTTTACATCATAGTTTACGTTAGTCATGCTCCTGTACCTGTTTGGGTTATTGATATTTCTATGTGTATCAGTGTGGGTTATTTAAACATGTACCGGTGTGGGTTATTTTAAGATGAACCTATATGTGGGTTATTTTAAGATGAACCTATATGTGGGTTATTTAAATGTGTACCTGTGTGGATTATTTTAAAATGAACTTGTGTGGGTTATTTAAACATGTACATGTGTAGTTTATTTTAAGATGAACCTATGTGGGTTATTTAAATGTGTACCTGTGTGGATTATTTAAACATGTACCTGTGTGGGTTATTTAAACATGTAGCTGTGTGGATTATTTAAACATGTAGCTGTGTGGGTTATTTAAACATGTAGCTTTGTGGGTTATTTAAACATGTACCTGTGTAGGGTATTTTAAGATGAACCTATGTGGGTTATTCAAATGTGTACCTGTGTGGGTTATTTAAACATGTACCTGTGTGGGTTATTTAAACATGTACCTGTGTAGGTTATTCACATATGTATCTGTGTTAATTATACACATGTGTATCTGTGTGAGTTATCTAAATGTGTACTTGTGTGGGTTATTTACATACCATGGTATGTTAATATCTTGGAGGGTTATATACCTGTATGGACTGTATGGGTAATTTACATAGCATAGTACTTATCTTTGAGGGTTACTGAAAATTGTATACATGTGTTGGTTATTCACACATGTTCCTGTGTTTGTTATAATCAACTCTGACAGTGTTTTTTGTAAGAATACATATGATTTAGAAGATCTGGGCATAAATGTATTTAAACTGACATATTTTTCTATTGCTTGTTCCATGATGACTAATTGACCATGATCTATGTACATGCAGAGTTCATGTACATCTGATCTTCAAAGATCAAGGGTTCATAACAAAGGTCTGATGACCTTGACACATCTTCAAAGTCTTTATGACATTTTCTATTATGTACATCATTAATTACCCTATTCCTCTCAACCTACGACGTTATCATTTCTCGTTATACAACATACCTCTCGTTCACTCAGCAGAGACGGACAGATCATCTTTGTCTGGATTGGCACCAAGGTCAAGGGTGCGAAGGTTAGGAAACCTTTATCTTTAAAATTGTTCTGTAAAAAGAGGAAACCATGAAAATATAAAATATAAAATAACATTTGTCAAAAGGACCTTAAATGTCTAAATATGTACTCTGTTTCTACAAATGATTCAGTAATCATAGCCTTTTTCCAATACATGTATCATCTCTTGACTGACCTGTTCTTTTCCTTAACTTAACAACACTTCAGGGACTTATGGCTTCAAATACAGATATTCACATGATAAGAATCGAAGTAGGACAAAAGTGTTTTATTATAATGTCTTTTCGATTCTGATATAAAGTTACGATGAAACTTAAAAAGCCATAATTAGACGAACACAATTTATATAATTATCTCGTCTTGCCAAGATTTAAAAACTTTAACAATTAAACCAAAATGAAAAATGAATGATACCTTCGTTTCCGCCTTTTTAACTACAACTAAATTTTCAATTCTCACTCCAAATTGTCCATCTTCATAATAACCTGGCTCTGAAATAATAAAAAAACCCAGTTCAAAATAAGTCATAGTGATAACTATGCACAATTAATATTATTAGCTATATACCTATCTATATGGTGTATCCATAATTTCCTCCGAAGATTTTGCGGACTGTCCTTTTTGCTTAATGATCTACTGGATATTCATTTTATTTCAATGGAACTGACCTGAACAACAGAGTATGAAGTAAAAGAATCTCATGGAATCCTACCATCAGACAGGACCATCCCTTCCTCGAGAGCCACGTCTGTAAGTGACACTCTGGAGCTGATACCACAGGGACCTGCAAGTATATATATATATATTTATATGTAAGACCCCCAACAGAAAACATACATCTATTATAGGCTTCTACAGAAAATATATATCTCTTTGTAAGTCCTTTACAGAAAAAATTGCCTCTATCTATAATTTTGGTAGGGACTATACCTCCATTTCATTCAGTTTTCTGAACCTTTTAGCATATTTAGATTATAGTCTGATTTATTTAAAGTTCAATTTTATGTTTCTTTCTCTATGTAATATTAATATTGACCACCATTCGGTGAGAAAAACCCGAATTTTTCCCATGTATACTGAATTTAATACTGGGTTTCATGTACCAGGTACATTAGGTGCCATCAACCAGACCATTGTCATCAAGCAAAACATTTCTCCTTATAGTAAACATTAACTAATTGTGAGAATTTTTTATATCAGTCTAAATCTAAAATAAGACTACTACTTTTCTTTCTGTTATCTGTAGTAAAATACATACCTTCATGTACATTTAGGAATGCCCCGACACCATGCCCTGTGCCATGCATATAGTCCAAACCAGCGTCCCATAGTGCTGTTCTAGCTAGTGTGTCCAGACTGTGTCCTGAAAATAAAACAATATTTCTATAGCAACAAAGTGCATGTAGGGAGAAGAGGCGGATTCTGGTTTAGTGTCTGAAGGTTGTGGGATGTTGGGACATATGATGTCAAGTAAGTGGTGGCCAGGTATCAAAGAAAATTTTGGAGTATAACATTTTTCATTTTCTCATTTCTTTCAAGGTGTGTGATAGGGGGGAGTAGGAGGAGCTTGTAGAAGATGCATTGTAAAGTAAAAATATGACATACAGATTTAAAGTTATCTGGGTTGACTCAATAGCATGCCTGTGTGGAGAGTGGGTGGAAGGGGTTGGGCATTGATTGGGAACACCCCTAAATCTACCAATGTAATGAATTGACATGTAGTTATAAGGTCTTATACTTAGCATTACAGGTACAAATTCTGCTGCTAATGTTAGCTTAAGTAAGCCATGAATATATGTACTTTATATCTCAGAAAACAGTCGGTATTTGTCACCGTAAAAACTTTCTATAAACTACAAATCATGAAATGTTACAGATTTATTGAAAGGTGATTCCTGACATATTTAAACTTTTATTTGGAGACAATGAAATCAAAGGCCTATTATTATTATGGAGGGCTATCAGGAATAAACGGGTAACTCACCTTTGACACCATTTGGAAACACAACACTTGACAAGTTTATGTGTCCCTTCAAGACTCTGGTGAAGCATTCCTTGATAAACAAAACACAAAGCTGGATAACACGGAGACATTTACAAAGTTAAAACTCTCAACTGTCAGCAACTTATTCCACAAAACCCTTCATTCATATACGTACATTTCCCAATAGATCTATCACTATATAGTGTAACTACATGCATACACCTACCACTAAGACATATATATATATATGAATAGTTTTATTACCAGAACAGCTAATGTAAAGAACAGGCAATGTGTCAAGGCAACAGATGACGAAAAAGAATGGATAAGCTGATATTTGCCACAGTTAGAAAAATTTAAGGACAGAATACTATAAAATATTAATAGTCAAACTATGAGCAATACCTGACGTAAAATACGTCAACTTCTTATTAATATGTGACGTAAATCTGACGTAAACAATTGACATAATTCCGACGTCAGGAAATGACGTCAACATGACTGTCACTTTTTACCAATATTTGACGTAATTACAACATCAGAATTGAACGTAAATATGACGTCAAGACATGCCTGATGGGTATGCTTGGAGGTTTGTAATACTTCAATAATTCCCAAAAACAAATTTATTTGGGAAACAAACACAATTCCCTCACAGGACATATTTCCCTGTGATCATATTTCCTTAATGCAAGCATATTTCCTTCACACAAATCAAGTTTTTCTCGTAATCGTATCTCCCTAACATGATCATATTCCCATCACAATCATATCTTCCTTGTGACCATATTTCCCTGACCCACACACAATTATATTTCCTTGTGACCATATTTTCCTAACCCAATCATATTTCCCTCACACCATGGTATTTTCCTTGTGGCCATATTTTCTTTACTCGATCTGCTTGTTTCAGTCTACTCAGCTGTATGTGAGTACGAGGTTGGGCAATGCTAGAATTGTAGAATGCTAGCTGTGAGTGCCGAAATGGCAATAATTTGTGAACTGTTAAGACGATCTATGAACTAGGATGTGATAAAGCTCTATATAAGGACCTCAAATTGTTATTATTATGTAACAAGCTCTCGAAACTCATAACATTTAAACATAATTGTTCTACTAATTAAGCTGAGCTGTACGATTAGAGTTGGGCTGTACCATTGGGAAACTTAAAGACAAACCTGGTATAATATTAACCATCGAATAAAATTTGTTAAGGTTTTTGAATATTATTCAATAATATAATGAAGAAATAATAGACTTTATGATGGTAAAATTAATGTGATATGAACCTGGAAAGCGAAGTATCAACCTCTACTTTACCGGGGTCATTATCATTAGCTGTATACTCTAACTGTAAAGTAATTTTAACATTATGTTGATTGTCTCACCTTCTGGAAATCTGACGGTGTACCAAAGTGTATAGTTCTGGTCACATCTGTCGTTCCATCCCTGAGGTTTAAGTAAAACACAATCATTAAATCTCCATTCACTATATGTTTGTCCTGAAAATGCCAACACAATAGCTGAAATTTTCTCATTGAACGGACTCAATATGCAAATGACTGTCACAGCCATTTTAGCCTATTTCTTAGGCTTCCTTCTGTACATTATGCCATATCAACTATCAGTTATTTCAGTGTGACAATACAAATATAATCAATTACAGTGAAAACATCAACATTTATACACCTGTTTGTAATTGATTGTTACAGGTTTACAGGGCTAATCAGTAGCTATTATTATAACTGACAACAACATGCTTTAAATTCATGACAAACAACCAATACTGACATTCTGCTTCTAACAAAACTAAACAAGAAATCAATTAACCGTGATTGTAATCATTTACTTACTTATACTGTGCTCCTGAGTCACAGAGATACATTTCTTCTGTAGTCAATGTCCTGTCCGTTTCGGCTGTCGGTCTATAACATACAAACACTTTATCATAAAAGCATGCATCACCTCAGTTTTAAGTGGCTCAGAGGGCCTGTTTTGCAAGCAATCATCTCAAAATATTCTCATTAAAAGTAGCATTGTAAATGTTTTTCAGTACCAAATGGAACAACACCCTTCCTTTATGAATCATCTTCTTCCTTGGCCTAAGGGTTCTCCATAGCAAATTTGGTTGAAATTGATCAACAATTTAGGAGAAGGAAGCTTTTGAAAACTTCAACACTCAAGTTACCCTCCTTTCAGCCCAGCCGAAAGGGTAGTTGCCCTCACTCTTCACACAACAGTTAATTTCCAGGGACCAATTAAGGATGCTCCATAGAACGTTTTGTTGAGATCTGCATCTTTGTGTATGTGGCAATAAGATGGGGATTTCCACACTTTCAATGTCATAATTCTGAACAAAGATCCTTGGGGAAAGGCAAGATCCTGGGGCTAATCCTGTTAACATGATTATGTTTGTCTCTTCATGGGCATGAGGAGACAGATACAGCCATGCTTACTTAATGTCCAGCAAGCACGTAGTGGGTTTGGATTTCAACCATTTTCATGTTATGAAGTAAGGACAATGTCCAAAGGGCCAACAGAGCCTACAGGGGTAATCACATGGTAACATGGGTTTATTGGTCTCTTTATGTCCAGTAACTGTATATAAGTTTACAGGGTGGTGAGAAGAACGTTTCATGTTTTGACAGAGGTGAGGTCAGACCCAGGATCCCGATACAAGTAGTATGACTGTTCATCTCTTCATGTCCAGTAACTGTATATAAGTTTACAGGGTGGGGAGAAGAACGTTTCATGTTTTGACAGAGGTGAGGTCAGACCCAGGAACCCGATACAAGTAGTATGACTGTTCATCTCTTCATGTCCAGTAACTGTATATAAGTTTACAGGGTGGGGATAAGAACGTTTCATGTTTTGACAGAGGTGAGGTCAGACCCAGGATCCCGATACAAGTAGTATGACTGTTCATCTCTTCATGCCCAGCAATAGTATGATTTATGTATATATATGGGATGATTAATTTCAGCCATTTCCGGTTATAACTCACGCACTTCGTCCCCAAGGGCCGTCGGGACCTGGTGATCAACCATGGCAGCATGGGTCTTTATACCCAGCAATTGTGTGGTTAAAGGGTTGACATCTCAACCCTTCTATGTTATGAACCAAGGTCTGAATTCCCTGGGGCACAACACTCGGATCTATTCTATTATGACTGTGTTGCCTCTTCTTGTCCAGTTATTGTATATATGGTTACAGAATGGGGATCCAAATTTTTTCCTTTTATAACCCAGGGACTAGGTCTTCAGGATTGGGGCCAGTCCCTGTGGACAATCCTTGTAGCCTAAGTGCATTAATATGTTCATGTGATGTTACTTACTTGTAGTGTATGACAGCTCCATGTTCCCCTGTACTAGAGATGGTGGTGAAACTCAAGCTGACATAGTCATCCTGACCCCTGTGATATAAAATAGTTTTAGTTTAAATATTCTAATACTGTTATTATTATTTTTGTCCTCAAGTGGATATAAAATGAATGATCAGAAATTCAAACATAATAGTGACTTCCCTAAGGGAGAAGTTAAACAGGAGAACCATCAAACAGTGGTGTAAATGTACATACAAGTTCAGTGTCTTTTACTTAACAAAGTTTTACATGATTGAAGAGAAGAAATGTTCAAAATATCAAAACTAAGAAACTTCAAGGTTATGGTTACGATATCAAGACAGTCTTTATAGCGGGGGTGAACACCTTGACATGTTATTGTTTCTGACTCCTCACCGTTTGATTTCCTCAAGTTTGTCAGCAGCTGAAACCTCTGTGATGTTGCCTTTGGGAATCTACAAAGCCAAGGCAAACTTATACAGACTCTATCTTTACAAGCAAACAAGTGTTCAGATACAATCTGCATAACCAACGCATGATTGCATAGAATCAACCTATAGAACTAAAGAGTACTTCAATAGTTATATTCTATAAACCCAAGGCACACTTAAATAGAATAGAATACCGATACATCTATAAAACCAAAGAATACAAACAAAACATACCCTTAATACATGTATCATCATTTTTTTGCTTCAAAAATTTGATCATTTATATCAGCAACCAAAGCTGAAGATCCTGTTGCTATGAGAATACAGATCCCAGTATGTCTAGTGATAGATTGATATTATGTGACCCTTTTCCAAAAACAGCAGCAGCTAGTTTTGCTAGCACTACATTTGGAGACTTTGCTGATAATGAACATTGTCGTATGATTCAAACTCACCTCTCGTTCCAACCAGGAGAAGAATTCACATAAAGTGACAGCATCTTTTACCTGGGAAACATAACATATAATTACTTCAATGTATTGATAACCCCTCCTGCCTTCAACAAATGCTGGACTACTAATGTATATTTGTATGTTACTTGTCAAAGGTTACTTTGTATTTTATTGCCAATCTGATACAAGATGCTTTGACCAGAACAGTCAATGAGGAAGTGAGTACCAGAAATAATTTCCAGATCACACCACAACAGGGAAGGGAGAGCCCAAAATCTTGTCTAGTATATATATACATGAGCATCCAATTCTTGTCCAGTATACTAGACTACAGGGAATGGGGTACCAAAAACCTTGTCCAGTATACTAGACTACAGGGAATGGGGTACCAAAAATCTTGTTTAGAATACAGGAACATCCCACTCTTGTCCAGTATACTAGACTACAGGAAATGGGGTACCAAAAATCTTGTTTAGAATACAGGAACATCCCACTCTTGTCCAGTATACTAGACTACAGGAAATGGGGTACCAAAAATCTTGTTTAGAATACAGGAACATCCCACTCTTGTCCAGTATACTAGACTACAGGGAATGGGGTACCAAAAATCTTGTTTAGAATACAGGAACATCCCACTCTTGTCCAGTATACTAGACTACAGGAAATGGGGTACCAAAAATCTTGTTTAGAATACAGGAACATCCCACTCTTGTCCAGTATACTAGACTACAGGAAATGGGGTACCAAAAATCTTGTTTAGAATACAGGAACATCCCACTCTTGTCCAGTATACTAGACTACAGGAAATGGGGTACCAAAAATCTTGTTTAGAATACAGGAACATCCCACTCTTGTCCAGTATACTAGACTACAGGGAATGGGGTACCAAAAATCTTGTTTAGAATACAGGAACATCCCACTCTTGTCCAGTATACTAGACTACAGGAAATGGGGTACCAAAAATCTTGTTTAGAATACAGGAACATCCCACTCTTGTCCAGTATACTAGACTACAGGGAATGGGGTACCAAAAATCTTGTTTAGTATACAGGAACATCCCACTCTTGTCCAGTATACTAGACTACAGGAAATGGGGTACCAAAAATCTTGTATAGATTACAGGAGTATCTAATTGTCCAGTATACTAGACTACAGGGAATGGGGTACCAAAAATCTTGTCCAGTATACTAGACTACAGGGAATGGGGTACCAAAAATCTTGTCCAGTATACTAGACTACAGGGAATGGGGTACCAAAAATCTTGTCCAGTATACTAGACTACAGGGAATGGGGTACCAAAAATCTTGTCCAGTATACTAGACTACAGGGAATGGGGTACCAAAAATCTTGTCCAGTATACTAGACTACAGGGAATGGGGTACCAAAAATCTTGTCCAGTATACTAGACTACAGGGAATGGGGTACCAAAAATCTTGTCCAGTATACTAGACTACAGGGAATGGGGTACCAAAAATCTTGTCCAGTATACTAGACTACAGGGAATGGGGTACCAAAAATCTTGTATACAATACAGGAGTATCTAATTGTCCAGTATACTAGACTACAGGGAATGGGGTACCACAAATCTTGTTTAGAATACAGGAACATCCCACCCTTGTCCAGTATACTAGACTACAGGAAATGGGTTACCAAAAATCTTGTTTAGAATACAGGAGTATCTAATTGTCCAGTATATTAGACTACAGGGAATGGGGTACCAAAAATCTTGTATAGAATAAGGGAGTATCCAATTGTCCAGTATATTAGACTACAGGGAATGGGGTACCAAAAATCTTGTATAGAATAAGGGAGTATCCAATTGTCCAGTATACTAGACTACAGGAAATGGGGTACCAACAATCTTGTATAGAATAAGGGAGTATCCAATTGTCCAGTATACTACCAAAAATATTGTCCAGAATAGTACACTGTAATGTGACATTTTATTTTATGGTACATTGTATATCATTTTATTTTATGGTACATTGTATATCATTTCATTTTATGGTACATTGTATATCATTTTATTTTATGGTACATTGTATATCATTTTATTTTTATTGTCATAAAGCAGCTCTTGCTTCCTCTATAGTTAAGTAAGGGAGACTACTCACGTGTGCTCTCCTTATTCCTTTGAGCTCCACACAATTTTTCACAGCCTTCATCTGAGCAATGGGTGAGGGTAGATTTACTCTCAGGGTCTGGGTAAACAATACAGTCAGTTTTATGTTGGATAAGTCATTAGCTTACTTGGCTTTAATGCTGAATACACCAGCAACTTCTCACTATTGGTTTACTTGTTGAAAATCATTTAAGTGCAGAACCTTTTAGTAATGAAATGTAGCAGCATATATGATATGGAATAAATATAATAGAGTACGGTATCATTTATTTTGAAAATCTGTCATAAATAATGATCCCAAAGGAGTCTACCAATACTAACAAATAAAACTGTATGGAGGAATGGTGGAAGTAATCAACCTGCCGAGGCAAGCATATCAAAAAAAAATAAAAAAATTGAGAAGCACATATATAAGAACTATCATAAAATTGGGTCATCTTGTTCTTGTTGATTCCAGATCTTGCCAAAAATGGTGACTCAAAATCGTTACTTTCATTGAAAAAACATTTTTCAAGTGTTAGATATGTAATCTTACCTTCGGTATTGAACTGATCAGGGCATAGCTGGACTTGGAACTGATCTGTTTGAAAATAAAAACATTTATGATTACTAAAGTGATATTGTGTCTACATATTCCCTATAATGTTAAAAACAGACATAGGGAAGTTTATATACTGGCTACCTTCTTGGAAATATCTCAACCCTTGATATTTACAACAGACAGACATTTCTTTATGTCAGCAGTCACTCACCCATATTTTCCCCTCCACGCTGTCCGGTAGACTGGACACAAACTTGCCAATAGCACTGTAGTCATGAACGGTCACCTTGAGGTCATTGGGACCATTTGACCCGTTGAGCTGAAGGTGCTGTTTCACAGACTTATCTAACTTATCATCACTGATAAACAAACTGGAACATAGAACATAGATATAGAAAGTAGATTTTATTGTTAAAGAGGTATGCGTAGGGTGTTCTAAATAATTGTGTTTTCATCATAGGCAATAACAAATGATCAATATTCAATATATTTGAAGTAACATTTTTATGTGCTTAACAGAATAAAGAAGCCATTTGGATTGATATGTCTCGCCTATGCCCCGCTTCGACCATCAATGCACATATCAGAGAACCTAAGTTAAATGCAAAAACTTAATGTTGATGGAGATGCTGACAAAGTCAACGGACCATGAAAGGTAGGCTGCATCCAGCATTTGATGCACGGGCAGGGATGTACTACCCAAGATGCATGTATGGTGCAAGTATGGCTGATCTAGCACTTATACTTTCAGAGAAACTACCTTAAACGCAAAAACTTAATGTTGATGGAGATGCTGACGAAGTCAATGGACCATGAAAGGTAGGCTGCATCCAGCATTTGATGCATGGGCTGAGATGTACTACCTAAGATGCATGTATGGTCAAGTTTGGTTGTTCTAGCACTTATTTTTTCAGAGAAACTAATTTGAACGCAAAAACTTAATGTTGACGCCGCCGTCGCTGCTGTCACCGTAAAAAGCAACACCTAAGTCTCGCTTCCACTTCGTGACGGCGAGACAAAAATTGATTTGTCATACTCAAAAAGTTTTCAAATTTAGTTGAATATTAAAGATAAAATTCTACTAGTTACGGTAATATTTTATTACCTACTGGAAAGATATAAGCTAGTGTAGATGTAAACATATCCGAGGCATTCTGAACTGAAATATTTGTGGCCACCACTAGCTACCCCAACAGTGAAATGAAATGAGTGTCCTAATTCTAAAATAAGCTTTGTAGTTAGCAGGAACCTGTCATAGGTAGCAGTTTTAAAGCCAATATTTTACAAAACTTCCACCTACAGCACAAAGCTATTACATATGAGGTTTAATTGATAAGTTGCAATGTAACTTGTACTTGTGTAATTTTACATGACAAGGCACAGTAAACTCTACTGCACCTACCAGTATATGTTGAATAAAACTCATCCTGTATCCATACATAGAAATCTCATGGCTCTGGTTCAGCTTACTGCCCATTTAGATAGGATTTAGCAGTGTATTAAAGTCCAATAAAATTACTTCATATAATGTACTATTGTTTTGCCCTTTTAGATTCATTACAACAAAAGTATGAATATCTTACATACCTAAATTACGAGGGGACCCATCTTCAACTATCAATATTTCTAAAAGCTTCTTCTTTCTTGTCATGATACATTGTTATTTCCAAGAAACACTTTTATATATTCAGTATATAGATAGAGATATATATCAGTAGATATATATATATCAGTAGAGATATATATCAAGTCACAGTAAACACATATTTTTCATGGCACAGAAATGTTACTCTGAATGTATGAAACTAAATCTATGCTTATGATACTTATTATATATACTGGTAATAATATTCCAGACTTAATTTCACCGTTGCACTTATTGTGGATTGTCTAACTACAACAGCATTGATCATACTGATTGTATACATACTTGACACTATCTTGTGTGAGGACAGCGTAGGAAAAGAATACGGGATTGTATTCAATATCCGACCCTCGTAGGTTAAACAGATCTACAAAAGAGAAAACACTTACAGTTTTCAAACAAAAATTCTTGCATTTGAAGTTTTTCAATTACAAAAAAATCCATCTTTACAGTGCACTGTTTCAGTATAAACAACAAGGCAAAGTATTGCAAGGCAATCCATAGTCCCCCACCGGTAATAATTTCTATAATTAACAAACAGTACACTAACTTATGTCAGGAAGTGAAGGTCATAGTGAGGTCATAGTGACCTACTTCTTGCACTCCACCATCCCAAGATGTCTTTGTACACCAAATATGGTTACTCCAGGTGAAATAGTATAGAAGATATGCCCCAAACAAACATTTTCAGAAGTAAAGGTGAAAGGTCAAGTCATAGGTCACAGTGACCTAATTCTTCGCTCTGTCATCCCATGATGTCCTTGTACACCAAATCTGGGTACTCCAGGTGAAATAGTATATAAGATATGCCCCAGACAAACATTTTAACAAGTAAAGGTCAAAGGTCAAGTCATAGTGACCTAATTCTTTGTCTCTGCACTCCGCCATCCCAAGATGTTCTTGTACACTACTGTGTCTTCTTGTTAATCCAGATGAAATAGTATAAAAGATATGCCCTGGACAAACTTTTTCAAAATGGTCTTAACAGCCCATCAACACAATAAGGTCATACAGGCTAGGGCCACACAGTAGTCTTAATGGTCTAACAACACAATAAGGTCATACAGGGCTACTGAAGTTAAGGTCAAAGGTCAAAGCATAGGTCACAGTGAGGTCATAGTGACCTTCTTCTTGCACTCTGCCATCCCAAGATGTTCTTGTATATCAAATCTGGTTTCTTCAGGTGAAATAGTATAGAAGATATGTTCCTAGTATTTTCTGCTTTTACATTTGTGTTTAGTCAAAAAGGGGACATTGTAAGTCACTTTTTAATTCTTGCCTCTTAGTTACTCTGTGAGAAATTTCAAAAATTGACAGGTATGGACTGACAGGGAGTAATTTAGGACACGGGCTAAACATATCATTGTATAATACTCATTCAAGTCCTCACTTACATGCTACCTCGTCCAGTGCAGTGATAACTAAGGCTCCGCACTTCTCCCGACTCATTTTCCCTCGGATCGCCGTTACTTTGTCTTGCCATTTCCTTCCTGGAAAATCAAATGATAATTTCCTATCTGAAAACCAGAGGCTATTTATCAGAATATGGAACTGACTGAAAATGAGTTTCCACATGAAGGTAACCAAACAATATTACTAAATACTCTTAACTCATTCACCCCTGAAGACTCATTTGAACTCTTCCAATTCAAAAGTTGGAATAGTTCATTATGAAATTTCAGGGGTGAATGAGGTAAACACTAACTGAGCTGTTTCATTGTTTGTGACTATTTTTACTTCCAACTGATCCTTATTTATGTCCTTGATTGCTGACCAGTGTAATGTCTTTGACCTCTTACCAATCTGTGTATTTGTCCTTGACTGCCAGATTGACTGTTAACTAACCTGTGTAACTCTCCTGAAGTATAAGGAGAGGGTTGGCAGGTGGATCAGGTTGGTCGCCCCACGCCAAGTCCACCAGGTTCTGGCTGATAGGGACCATACTGTGTCCCGTGCTCTTCAGGTGTTTACACATTGGTTTCCAGGCATCTGGAAAATTCATTGTTAAACACTGCTCATATCACAAATACTTGATAGAAGAAATCAAACAAAGGTGATCCAGATATAATGACAAGTATACAGTTCACCGATACAGACATTCTAAAAATAGATTATACCTCCCATTTGATTCATCAGTTCACGTTTAGACAAAGGGACCAGTGGATCTTGAAACGTTGCGACATGTTGGATACATACATTATTTGTGTATAAAGTAAAACTTTGATATAGCTTATACCTTATTTATTTGGTGGTTCCCTCTTCGGAACAAGGAACCACTTTTTATTGGCATCAAGAAGGTATATTCACTAACCTAAATAATAGGGCTGCAACGATATATTGTAACGTATCACAATACTTTCTTATATATCATATCATTTTTTTTTTAATAAAATTTATTTATCTTACAACAATTATGAAACAAGTTATTTCAACTTATATTTATCACTCTTGTTGGCCCGGATGTTAGCGCAAGGGGGGTCTTATTGTGGGAGGAAACGGGAGAACCCGGAGAAAACCCACATGGTCTGGCAAGTAACCCCAAACCTTTTCACGTCCGATCGGGGAATCGAACCCCGGCCGCCTTGGTGAAAGGCAAGTGCACTATCCACTGCACCACCCGACCTCCCTCCTAGTTTTGATTACCTGTATAGCGATACACTAACAGTACTTTAATTATCAATCAATTTCTATCAAACTCTAAAGAAGTGTACTTATATTTATTGAATCCTTCAGTAAAGCTGTGGTCCACTAAACAGTCATACCCAAAAGTACTAGAAATTATACAAAAATATTTTTCAATAATATTTACTATTGAAGTCTATAAAACCTCAATAAAATCCTGCACTCAATCATTATGAAGTTGACCTTTAAAGCAGAAATTTGTATCGTGATACGTATCATATCGTAAGCATCGTACCGCGATATGTATCGTATTGTGAGGTATGCATATCATTGCAGCCCTACTAAAAAGCATCAGTCAGTTATCTACTTACCCAGTGACATCAGGTAGGGATCTACACCAACCTTCCCTCCCACAGGTAGCTCCTATGACAGGAAATTCTTACATTAGCAGCAGTAAGTAACAGAATTTTGATTTGGATATGAGATGGATAAGTAAGAAGAGTATTAATATCTTTCCAAGCTCTTTAATCTTAACTTGAAATACAGGGAACATAAGGTTTTTATAAATTATGTAAAATAGTTCAGATGATATTGTTCTTGTGATCTATAAGATGAAGATGACAAATGCATACATTTTTAGTTAACTGTTTGGCTTGATGCAATTGTAACAAAAAGTATCAACCTACCTTAGCCAGCCACTCAGCTTGACTTGGTGTAGAGGTCAAACCTGTAAAGTAAATATTACACATTATATGGCATCCCTATCACATAGATAATTATATTTTGTCATTAATATATATATACATATATATATTATTGTCCTGTCAACATGAATAAACATTTCCCCTGATGAACCTCTAAAGAGGAGAAAGTGCTAGGGAAGTCGAAGAAACTTTTTGTCTTTTTTTTTATATGTACATGTTTGGTATCATGAAACTTGTTTTGAGAATTAAATCTGAACGGATCAGAATGTTGTTTAAACTGTGTTGTTGAAATTCTATATACATGCACATCCATTATTTGTTGTACTTCTCTGAACGTAAGAAATACAAAAAAATGATTTTTTATAATGTAAAAAGTAGCATAAATGAAAGACCCATCTTGAACTGTCAAAGGACTTATGATTGGCTAACCCATTTTGAACTATCAGAAGTAATAAAGCTGACTGAGGCATATCATATAAACTATAAACAGGTTTAATGGTCCACTGACCCATCTTCATCAAGGTCCAGTTAGAATCCATTTGTTTCTCTGCCTGTAAAAAGTATCGTCCATCTGTCCACATTGCTGCTTTGGTTTCCGTGACAACAGCAGTACCTGGTAATAAACAATAACCACAGAACTATTTAATCGCATAATTTTCATGGAAAGTGCAACAGTAGATTCAATAGCTATACTGTAAGTATTTCAGATCTTATATCTAGTATCTCTATCAGGTGTACGTATCACAAAACATTGTGAGCAGTCCACAGTCCTCCACCCCTGGACAAATTCTGGTATCAAACATGAACAAAGGGTTATAACATTGGTATATAGCATATAGCCGGACATAGACATTTCTGATTGCTTATTTATAACTGGCAGATGTCGATATTAGACTAAGTGAAAATGTTGTCTCATAAGAATTATGTCGTATTTGACTAAATTATTGCGAGAAATTTGGAAAGCTGCAAAATATTTGTATATGAAAAAAAAGTTACAGTTTATTTTATTCCTCAATGTATTGTTCAGCCTTTGACACCTACCTGCTGATCCACTAAAGCCAGAAACATACATTCTTCTGCAGTCACAAGGGGCGATGTACTCACTCTGAAACAAGAATCACAAATATCTCAAAACACACACATACACTTAAATATCATTTGAGTTGGACCAACATTTCTACCTTAAATACCAGTACATGTGTATACAGGATTTTCATTAAAAACAGGCAGCAGGCCAAAATGTATCAATTTTGGCCTGTTTAAATCACCTTTCTCTTATAAAATCTCAAGATGAAATTTTACCAAATTTGGCTGGTTAAAAATGTCATTTGGTCTGTTCAAATGGCAATCACTGCATGTATACAGAGAGAGAAAAAATAATTCCTCATTACACTGTACTACAAAAACCCAGAAACACTACCTGATGTGCATCCCCAGAAGGAATGATGTAAGCTTGGACAGGCTCAGGAAGATTCTTCATAGCACTCCGCAGCCGTGCCAAAATGGCTGTAGTATTCTTAGCTGCCATGACAGTCAATGGGATGTTTAAATTGACCCTGTCAACTTCAGGTTATCTTCACACTGAAAAACAGGACAGATCAATTTCTGTGAGCTGTGATGAATTAGTTGAACACAACACTTACACACTATGAACAATAATATTTTTTACCCACCATTTCTGCCCACTGACATTTTCAAACAAATTTCGGCAGTGTTGAATAACCTCAAATATATACAGATGTAGTTGGAATTTACTGCTTACCCTACAATGTCAATCAAACATTTTGCTTCATGCTGAATTGGCCTTTTCCTAAAATGGCAGAAACAGTTCAGATACAATGGGTGAAATTTCCAGGCTGACAGTAACATTCTCACATCTGAGGAAGGCTTCATTAAAAAGTTCCCCATATGAGAGATTATTACAAGCACTGGATAACAGTGTTTACTTATTTGACAATGATGTTAAGGCATCGGACATCAGTGCATAGGCATTCAATAACAGTGCTGATACACTGAATATGGTACTGAGGTATAAAATAACACCTGAGGCATTGGGTACCAGTAGCATTGATTTAGTTAGCAGTGTTAAGGTAATGGATAAATGTTGGGGCATTGGATAGCAGTCTTTGAGCATTGGATATTAGTTCATAAGCATTGAGTAATGGTACCAAGGCATTGAATAATGGTGCTGAGGCATTGAATAATGGTGCTGAGGCAATGAATAATGGTGCTGAAGAATTGAATAATGGTGTTGAGGCATTGAATAATGGTGCTTAGGAATTTGATATTGGTTGTAATCCAATGAATGACTGTTTTAACATACATAGGATAACAGTTTGGAGTTTATTGCTGAGCTGATGTATTGGATAGTGACCGGTGCAGAGGATAATAGCTCAGTTATATATATAAGCTGATACATTGGATTTAACAGGGATTCAATCACAACATGTAGGACTTAAATGGCCGATGTTTTTGGGAAAAAAATGTTGAGATATGTAACAAGCAAGACTGGGCCTTGAACCGAAACCTCAAACCCGGGACTTGTTAACTGAGCTACATGCATGTATACATACAACCTGGTCACTGACCATGTCCAGTCCGACTACAATATTACTTTCTTTTAACTGAAATATTTATTTTTCCCTGTCAGTTTGAACATACAATGCTAACTCTAATGCTAAATAGGCCAATTCAACATATGGATATTGTAGGGTAAGCAGTAAATTCCAAAAGGACCCCATTGGAAATAAGTTTTTTCAAAACTTTCATGGGCCATCCTAGGTAAAAGATTACCAGTTCAAGATTATTATTCACTGTCTGTACCTCCAATAGTTTATGTGATATTCATACAAATTGAGTGATGAATATATGCTTTTTACTTGAAATAATATAATAAAACTAATAAAACAGCGGAGTTTGTGCTGGGTATTTCGAATTCTTCTGCATATTTTGAATGGGATACCTGAAAAAAATTGTGCAGACATTTCAATATCTACGCGAAAGCATAGAACAATATACATTTAAAGGAATACTCTAACAGAAAATGATAAAGGTTTATAAATGTAATTGAATTTCGAACTGAAGCAGAGTTATTTCCCTTGATTTTTAATATCCAAGACAAACATCAATTTTTGAGAAAAAAGTAACCATAAAGTCCATACACTGGAGATATTTAAACGATATTTATGCGTAAACGTATGCATTGAATTTGAAAACATAAGGTTTTATACAGTATTTCTATACTTAAATTAGATTTAAAACGTGTTGGATTGCACAGTAAGACGTGAAGAAAAAAAATCCACCTTGGCATGTTATAATATCTTTCCATTTTGAAAGTGACATTGCATGACGAAGACGAAGTTTGCATATCAGTCATTTGTTGTGTTATTATTATGAAATGTATGGCTTGAAATAAGTGCGTATGGTTTATAAATACACTGTACATACCCTACTTCTCACACTCAAGTCTTAGCCGGCAAGACAAGCTGGTGCCTTGGATATATCGATGTCTGTATGACGCTTGTAAAAGTAGTTTTACTGCAGTTACGCCCCTTGGAACGGATGCGGCTTCTCCTGTCTCTGATTGGAAACAACTCAAAATGCCTCTGAAACTTATTCCAAATGTCCTTTCACCAAACCTGTTGCATGTGTTAGCATCAATGGGACATGGTGATGAACTAGGTTTGTATTATTTGAGATGTCAGTTCCAGTACTCAGTGCAATGCTACGTAGGTACATGTAACGCTTATGTAATAGGACGAGGACTATAGGCCGCGACCCTTGACCCTTTACACTATTCTCCCCTTTTTTTCAAACACCAACCCAGGTTCTTTGACTCCCCGCCAAGGATTCTCTACCTTGAACGGGGAGGGTCAACGCCACCAATTTGTAAAAGGACGAGGAATAGTGATAAAGATGGTGCCGTCGCTGGGCCTCGAACCCGCGACCCTTGGGTCTCCAGCCCGATGCTCTACCTGTTGGGTCGTTTCGGTAACAAGTCGTTTCGGGACTCTTTTTTCAGGTCGTTTCGGGATTTTTTCTTTTTTTCTTTTCTGTAGATATCATTGTCTTTTTTTAAACATATTTTAATGTCAACTAAATTTAAACAATTGATTGGATAAAAGTTATTACATCTTATCATAGCCTTCTCCCGTCATACATTTTTACCATTACATGATTTTAATAAAACATGAATAAATATTATTATATATATATAATATTCACACAGACACACACAACATAAAAACATTGTTCAAACTATATTGCTGGATTTGAGGAATTGATTCACATGTCTAAAATATATTCTACGTGTTTCACGTTTTTACTTTCATGAAGTTTAATTTCAATATAGCAAAAATAAAATGCTTAAAACATTGTTAGAATCAATGTTAACTCATTCGTCTCTAGTCTTAATGTCAATAATGGAGAATATAGTGAATTGAAAACATATTATTACAATATCAAACAGGAATTAACCTATCAGTAATGAAATAAATTGAATGTTGAATTTCATAAGTTCTTCTAGATCTGTATTTAATAATGAGATTAGTATTACTAGGTAACAATTAACACACTGTCAATCGGGTAAATGTTGGTAGGAAGATCAATCTCCTCAAACTCTAGCAATCAGGTAACACTAATTATGATCCGAAGCACGGGTAAGTCGTGACACAGGTCATACAGGATTTTTTTTGTCGGAAGAGGTGGACAGAACGTTGAAAAGTTGCAATTTGAAACTGGGTTAGATTTTGACCTTGATACTAAAACAAATCAAGATCTAAGTCTTCATGTTCTTGCGACCGATGCTGAGGTGTTAAAGAGTGCAACAGAAAGAATAATGATAGAGGTATAAAGATAAGAATCTGTCTAAAAATAGTGTTCACAGATGAGGATGTTGACATTCATAATAAAATATACAAGCTTATCACAAGCTTATCATAACTTAGTCAGGAAAAGACAGATCTAATCGTCTTTTCCCCAAAGTGTCAGCAAACAATGACTTTCCAGCTCAAGGTTGGTGCCAGAACTATTGAGACTGTTCCAGCTGTTAAAAACCTAGGGGTATACTTTGACAGTTCTCTGAACATGGAGAAACAAGTGAACGCTATTGCCAAATCCTGTTACTACCAGATCAGGAACATCGGCTGTATTCAGCAGTTTCTAACTGCAGATGCATGCAAGATTTTGGTGCATTCACTTGTTACCTCTCGGTTGGATTATGGTAACGCCCTGCTCTGTGGTATATCTGACAAACTAACTAGTCGTCTGCAGAGGGTTCAGAACACTGCAGCACGGCTAGTTACTCGTACTCGAAAGAGAGAGCACATCACACCTGCGCTTTATTCGTTGCACTGGTTACCTGTACGATACAGGTCGCAGTACAAAATTCTGGTATACACATACAAGGCACTGAATGGAACAGCTCCTCAGTACCTACAGGAACTTGTTACCCTGTATCAGCCGTCAAGATCACTGCGGTCGGAGTCAGAATCTTTGTTGTGTGTCCCAAAATCTCGTACTGTGACCTACGGAAACAGATGCTTTGGGAGGGTTTCGGCTACGTTGTGGAATAGCTTACCATCTGCTATTAGGAAGTCAAATACCCTGGCCAAGTTCAAGAGGGACATAAAAACTCACCTCTTCACGTCTGCATTTTAGAATCTTTGCAAAGACGTCATGTAAATACCACCCTTTTATTTGTTCAATTATGTGCACATGTATGAAAGTGATTGCAAGCCTTTGTTGTTTGTTTTCACAATTATAACCATTACTATTATCCATATGATGTAAAGCGCTTTAGAGTAATTTTACAAATTATATAGGGCGCTATATAAATGTTGTATATTATTATTATTATTATTGGAAAAGGCGGACAAAACATACAAAGATTGAAATACGAAACTGGATTAGATTTTGATCTCTCCTGTATCAGCACAGGTCGATCTACTTATTTGTGTGACTGATGCTGAAATGTTGAAGATTGTAACAGAAAAAGTAACACAAGAAGTACAAAGAATATAGAACTAGATAGACAAAAACTTAACTGAACAGTATTAACACATTATATATACTGATGCTCATCATCATTGCTGAATTTCAGGAATGGTACGTAATAAATGAGTAGAAGTCAAAGATTGAAACAATTAGTTTTTAAACAACTTATTCTGAAGAATGCAAGGCCTTTAGTCATGACATTTGGCTGGTAGCTTTCATCTCATCAAACCAACAATCTACTAGATGGTTCATCATGGCAGTAGACCTTGGCAAGCAGTTAGTCTTCCCAAGTGTAGTCCACAGAACAGTGCGACCAGTGGGGTACTTTGGTCAGCCAAAGACAAGCAAAATATCATGATAGAACCTACTGTGCCTTGGGAAGAGATATGCGATGAGGTCCATGAGAGAAAAACAATTAAGGCAAAGTATTGCAAGGCATTCCATAGTCCCACACCGGTAATGATTTCTACATTTAACGAAATAGTACACTTACATGTTCGTCAGGAAGTATAAGTCACAGTGAGGTCACAGTGACCTATTTCTTGCATTCTGTCATCCCAAGATGTCCGTGTACATTAAATCTGATTACTCCAGGTGAAAAAAGCATAGAAGATGTGCCCTGGAAAGACTTTTTCAAAATTGAAGGTCAAAGGTCAAAGTGACCTAATTCTTGCAAACTGCAATCCTCCATCCCAAGGTGTCCTCGTACACCAGATCTGCATGGTTACTCCAGGTGAAATTGTACAATAGATATGCCCTGGACAAACTTTTTAAAAGTAAAGGTCGAAAGTCAAGTCATACGTCACAGTTACCTCTAATACTTGCACTCTGCACTCCGCCAACCCAAGATGTCCTTGTACACCAAGTCTGGTTACTCCAGGTGAACAGGTGAAATAGTATAGAAGATATGTCCTGGACAAACTTCTTAGACGAACGGATGGAGTACAAACCTATATCTCCCTCCCGGCCCCTCCCAGAACCGTTGGGGGACTTGAAAAAAAGGTTGGGGCAATAGAAGTGGGTCGCCGAGGATTCCAAATCCAGTCTGTGTGGAAGACTTTCCATGCGCTGGGGATATGTGGCAAAGACACAGAAGGCAGTCAGGGTCTTCGGAGATCAAGCTGAGAGGTCAGAAAGTTAAATATGGCACTGACGAGAAGACAAGGAGTAGAAGTCACACAACGACACGCAGTGAGAACATAACCACTGTGGACCTGCCAACTGTAGGATTTCATGGTTTTCAAGTGTCAAAACATACAGTGACGGTAACCATCTGATGATGTCAAAGTGGAAACCTACACTCCCACACCAGAAGCAGGGCCAGAAACCAGAGGTGACAGTTCCGGTATTCAGCAACGGTGTCCACGAAGGGGCGACAACACAAAACGCCAGATGAGAGATTTAGCCTGACCTGATCAAAGAAGACATAACATCTTCTGTAAGCATTTATTAACTCACCTGGCCTGAATGTATTGATTATTACAAGGCCCGCATAAACATTTGTAAGGTCCGCTAGTATTAATACCCGAAATGTTACATTTAAAAACAGACAAACCGTTTGTTCCACAGGATTTTAACCTACACGTACACAGGTCGATACTGGGCATGGGCTGGTTACCGGTAACATGGTAGAATCTAATGACGGAAACAAACGATATGTCGGCATCAGGCTTGTGAAATACTTCACATCAGAGTTTATACTCTTTAATCTCTATCTTTTATATGATAAAAAAAGTAAAAATTAATAAGTAAATTCCACTCATGCTTGCAATTACTAACACCTCGAAGAATCAAACATCTATTGGATATGAATTTAAGCAATCTCATGGACGAAACATGGGAAATGAAATGGGGAATAATTTAACTAAGTATAAGTATTGAGACTATGTGCGATAGGATCTCAATTTTGTATGATGAAAGTGTTGCCCAGGTGAAATATTCAGCCCCTTATGCCTCTTTTTAATTATTTTCCATCATACTAACCTGATACCTATGCTGCTGGTGCTACAATGTGGAGAATGTTATAAGGAGGTGAGTGCACCTCTAACAGGAGTCGGAGGGGGGGGGGGGGGGGGGGGGGGGGATACAACATGTCATTCCTGGACAAAACTGTGAACCTAGCTCTTAACAGAATTCTAGACAAAGATTACAGATGAAGCTATATATAGCTACCTGGTCTTTGACAGTCAGTCTTTCCCTGACCCATTCTACAGGCACTTTTTTTTTTTTTATTCCATTTCAGTTCTGGCAGATGCTAATTTTCCAACAGCATCAGTTTGCAAGTCTGGCCCAATTGAAGTCAGAGCAGATGGTAAGTTCAGTAATTTATTAGTAAATTTAATTTTGGAATCTTTCTTAATTTTGTTGAACATTTTTTGGAATGAAAAGAACTGTAATTATGCAAAGTAAAAAACACACATTTAGGAGTGCTAAAGGAGAGATTTTTATGGTAGCTTGGCATGGTTACTGAAGTTGTAATCATCTGGAATGTATGTGTATGACACATGAAGAAATACATCAAAGTAAAGACGTAAAGGTTATCTGCTTGATAATCCTTTACACCAACAAAATGTTAAAAAAGACAACAAATCTGATATAGTACAAGCTTGTTATACTGCCATTGTTTGTCTGGAGAAATGTCAGTGTTATAACAGCTGGGTTAGAGGATATATTCAGCGAGACGTATACAGGTATTCTTAAGAAAAAAGGATTTTGAAACAGATAGGCAGCAAGCAAGGTGACAAATGAAAAGAGAGGCATTATATCAAGGTTTTACTGTACTTTTGTTATTTGATTTTTGTTTGAACTTCATGATTAAGTGTACAGTCTGACATTTTGTCTCTAAAGGTATAGACATTCCTACATTGATGGACGCCATTCTCCAGCTGTTGCCATTGGATACATATGTAGACCGCCCGGTGAGTCAATTTGCTGTATTTAAGTAATACAAAGCTGTCAAAGGGAGACTCCCTCTTTTTTACCAAAATTTACCAATCCCTCTCGAAACTCCCTCATTCAAGTCCAAACTCACACAAACTCAAAATCTACATCTAGTTACTGCATGATGTACGTATGGATCATAACAGGGGTGTCTGAATCAAATGAATACTTTTTTTAGTTATTTTTATGCATAAAAAGAGATAAGTTAATTGATTAAAGCACGTTTCACACACTTTCTCCTTCATTGGAAATGAGGAATGAGGGAGATCTCCCTCATTGGAGGTATCAGAGGTTGACAGGTATGATTATAATGTATTTTTGGCTAATACCTAGTGTTGAATTTTTCAGACTATTTTATATAACCTTAAAAATTAACTTCAAATGTGATGACCTTATAAACCAGAACTACACCTTGTTTTCAATATGGGTGTTTGTGTGCTTAAAAGTATTTAGAAAGACATAGGAATATAGAAAAAATGTTTGCCTTTTTGAATATTTTTTCTTTGAAAAGTCTGAGATAACAGTGTACTTAATCTGCTGTTATTGATAAGGTTAAGTGTGTTATACAGTAGCAACGTTAGACAGAACCAACAATACACTGTACATCCTAGTCAACTACATTAACTTAGATAATAAACTGACATTCACACATTGTCATTGTTTTGCAGATAGCACTGATGGACTTGGTGCCCAGTGATAAACAGAGAGGACTACAAACGCCGGTGTGGGAAAAGTATATGACCATTGCTAGAAAACACGAAGGCAAAACGGTGGGTGCTTCTTATAAATAACTTTCAATTAAATTTGAAACAGCGTATTTATGTATACATAAGTAGGATGTCAGCATTTCTGACACTGATGATGAAGTATTAACTATTTATTTAACTTTCAACAGTTGTTATATGGTTTGAATCCTTGCTCCTCATTTCATCTATAAAGGTTGAATTTGTTTTGATTTGAAGTTTTCCAAAGATTTCATTTTGCAGTTTTACTAACATTAAAAGCTGTAGATTTTGAGTAGAAAAAGAGTGAGCATCATGTTTCTCATGTACATCTTTTCACAATAGTATCACATTTTTTTCTGATGAATTTTAGAAGTTTAAATATAGGTTTGTAAGTTGCATAAAAGTGTTTTTTTCTGTAGATTGACGTTCAGTTGGTGGAGAGATTTGCATTTTATGAACGAGCCAAGAAAGCGTTTGCTGTTGTCCACACCGGGTGAGTTATAGGATGTACACTACTAATTGCTGATACATTCCCAGACTTAACTATCAATGTCCCCCATGTATATAGGGATAAAACAAGTTTCTTTAATATTCATGCTGGTATGAATGAAAATTGGCAACATTCATATTGCATGAAGCCCATTCTACATTTTCCAGTGTGTTTTGTTTTCTGTGTTTTCATTGGTTCAATTATGGAAATTTAAATATAAACTTTAAACTGGATTGAATATTTCTCTGTAATTTTGATGCTAGAAAGGTAACTTAATTTTGAACCACTCTTTACAAAAATTTGTACACCATAGGTTTGGGGTCATCGTTCCTTAAAAAGAGGCGGTTATCGATATTGAACTAATTTCCAAATGTGACCTATATCACTCGACTATTTCATTTTAAGAGAGGTGGGCTTGGGCTTGTTATTGTTTGTCTGTTACTACAGATTGTCAACCATGATCTGGGCCCAAGTATTGTTCTAATTATAACTTGGTTTGAAATGAGCCTTTAATTTCAACTTTCAAAAGAAGTTTTAATTTCTTGTAAAAACCTGCATGTATTTCCTTTTTATTTTAGAGAAACAGCCTTGTATGGGAATATAATTCTGAAGAAAGGTGTTGTGGCCTAATGATTTGGAAACAAGAAATTGATCTCACAGTTAGCAAGGACACATAAATAAATCAGCCACAATTATCTCGGGGATATTTATCTGTCAACATTCCACTTCTCTGTGATTTAAACATTATTTTTATTGTGTCATAATTATGATATTGATATACCTAAGATTTTAAATAGATTTGTTATAATTGCCAAACATATATGATTTTGATAACAAATATCACTGTGACATAATTTTGATATAAATTTTATTGTAACAATGGTATGAATTCCAAGAATTATTACCAACAGAATGCGATTCTAATTGGTAGCTTATTGATGTTTACATAGCTGATCACAAGGTAATTGTATTTTTGATGGGGTGGTTTATCTGTGCCATTTGTATGTTTAGGAATATAAAGTGTTGGCTGTCAAGTGTCAGTTAGTGGGAATAGTGTATTTCTATTTTACATCCATGGGAAGATTGTTTTGTTTATTGTATAGATCCATGCTGCTATGCAGGGTATTAACAGTAGGACATACTTCTGTGACTAATGTATGTGTGTGTGATGGAAGCAGTATGTTTGGGTATTTGATTGACATTCACTATGCAATACATACATGTATATAAGACACTTAATACCTGTATGTATCAATACATACCTATATAATACATTTTGTACCAACATATATGAAATGCACTTTGTACATGTATGTATAAATACATCATATATAATATATTCTGTACCTACATGTATTTAATGCATTATATACCGGTATGTATATATACAATACACTTTTTTAACCCGTATTATTGTGGTGCATCTGTTACATCCCTCTCTGTAAAAGTTACAGGTGTTGGAGGAATAACATTTATTTTACCGATATTTCCTTGATCAGTAATGGTAGTTGTATGATATTTCCTTGATCAGTAATGGTTGTTGTATGATATTTACCTAATCTGGTGTTGATTGTTTATATGATAATTAGTTTTGTTGTATGTTTATAACCTGATGTTAATTGAGGGAAAGGCTATCACTGTTATGATCATGAAAAGGAGTTCCACTCTGAGTTTATTTTAGGAGATAAAACAACCTACAGGAGTTTTTCTGGCGAAGAGTACCTTCCCTTGGGAAGCTTTTCGTATGCTTTGTGACACACAAATTAGACATTTTTTTGATGGTGTGAATCGATCATTTCTGTATGGCAACATTGGTCAAGTGTAAGCTTCGCAATGTAAAGGTTCCAAAGTCAATCGCAATGTAAAGGGTGCCTAGGTCCACCGCGTTGTAAAGGTCCCGAGGTCCACCGCAATGTAAAGGTCCCGAGGTCCACCGCAATGTAAAGGTCCCGAGATCCATTGCAATGTAAAGGTCCCGAGGTCCATCACAATGTAAAGGTCCCAAGGTCCACCGCAATGTAAAGGTCCCGAGGTCCACCGCAATGTAAAGGTCCCGAGGTCCACCGCAATGTAAAGGTCCCGAGATCCAACGCCATGTAAAGGTCCTGAGGTCCACCGTAATGTAAAGGTCCCGAGGTCCACCCATGCAATTTTCTTCCTTTTTATTTTTTTCAAATCTTCAACAACTATAATTCTGTAAAATTCATGACAACATGCATTTTATTAGGAATATTCTTTTGAAAAGGACTTATTCAAATGTTTCAAAATAGAGACAGTCTTAATATTATGATGTAACCTGTTGGTACCCTTTACCTGAAAATGAGTAGCCTAGTGTAGGGATTATTGGAAATTATACCTTAATAAATAAAATCATATTGCATATTTCAAATTTGTTTTTTTTACTTCTGTACTCTAATTCATTTCACTAGAGAGCTTATAATTATCCAGGAAAGAAGTTAAATATTGAGGATTAAACCAGCTGCACCAGCTGGCCAAAGCTGACTCATTAACAGCTTTTTCTGTAAGTGCACATATACAGTTGAGTGTTGTGAAAGCAGTTTTAAACCAGTAATTTTTTAATTAAAATGTTCACCCTTTGATGTTGTTAAACCATACATTCAGTATTGAATTTGCTTTCTTATGTTATCTACATAACTAAACATATAGCACATTTTACCCCATGATACAGGTATATTAGCCCGAAAATGTTGTACATGTAGTCACTTTTTGTACAGACTGCAATTGTTGTGCAGAAAAAAGTATTTTTATATATAATTGAGTTGTGCAGTAGCCAAAATGGATAGAATCTTGTAATACAGGTGTGACATCCACAGTTATGTGTGACATTTATAAGTTTGATCAGGAGTGGCTTTTATAGACAGACATACCTTTTATAGACAATTGTGACTTTATTATAGACAGGTGTGACTTTATTATAGACAGGTGTGACTTTATTATAGACAGGAGTGACTTTGTTATAGACAGGTGTGACTTTATTATAGACAGGTGTGACTTTACAGTTGTATGGTAATCCTGAAATGACTGAGGTTTAACATATAATGTGACATTATCTGTATTGTTGATGTGACACCATTTATTCGTTATACACAAGGGCATGTCAGCTGTCTAGCACCCAAGGACAAGACAAAACTTTTCTCGCATTTTAAAATTATTTAATGTAAAGACAAATAAACATCAGCACAGTCATATTAACAGTTTTATTGGCAGGTTCGATTTAACAAAGGCTTCCATTTTCAATACTTAGGCTTCAAATCAATTTATCGATTTCTGTTTTGATTTAGATCTTCATCAAACAATTGGGACCAGATCTTTAATTCCAGTCTGATACTCTATGTTCCAGTAGACAGGAATGTAGAGTAGCGGCGTGGATTAAAAATTGAATTTTTGATGTAGAACAATTACTGTAATGTATATCACAGAAACAGTTTCATTATAAATACATTTTTTTTAAATTCTGTCAGGAAAAGCTAATACTCTTTTTGAATTGGAATTACTGTATTGAAATATAAAGTTACCAGGTATAGCAAACTTTTAAAAAGGTGAATGAACAAGGTACAGTACAGCTAAAAACAAGTTACCAGCAATGAACCCTTAGATGAATGATCAAAAACACGTTAAAGTTGTTTCTGAATCTGCATGGTCCTTTACTAGGTTATACACTATGTAACCTCTTTATAAATAGTCAGCACATTTAAAAGTTTGAATACAAGCATTTATTTATGCTGTTTTGATGAACGAATCCAGGTCCTCAACTTGTAAATTATGCATTTTATTTTTTTCAATGTATGTTGCATTTATCTTTGTAATCTTGAAATAAATTTGAAAGATGTAATGTAACATGTGTAATAGAAATGTATTGAACCTTAAAACAAAATCCAGAGGCAGTCATAGTACATTTGTACATCATTAATAGGTCATCAATGGTACCGGTGTCACTGGCACATTTGTACATCATTAATAGGTCATCAATGGAACCGGTGTCACTGGTACATTTGTACATCATTAATAGGTCATCAGTGGTACCGGTGTCACTGGTACATTTGTACATATTTAATAGGTCATCAATGGTACCGGTGTCACTGGCACATTTGTACATCATTAATAGGTCATCAATGGAACCGGTGTCACTGGTACATTTGTACATCATTAGTAGGTCATCAATGGTTCCGGTGTCACTGGTACATTTGTACATCTTTAATAGGTCATCAATGGTACCGGTGTCACTGGCACATTTGTACATCATTAATAGGTCATCAATGGAACCGGTGTCACTGGTACATTTGTACATCATTAGTAGGTCATCAATGGTACCGGTGTCACTGGTACATTTGTACATCATTAATAAGTCATCAATGGTACCGGTGTCACTGGTACATTTGTACATCTTTAATAGGTCATCAATGGTACCGGTGTCACTGGTACATTTGTACATCATTAGTAGGTCATCAATGGTACCAGTGTCACTGGTACATTTGGACTTGCTGTAAACCATTTATTACTTGCAAGACATTTATTTTTTAACTAATGCACGAATAACAAATTGAAATATCTTTTAAATGTTTATTCATTTACAGATAAGTTGTCCTTTGTTGCTTTTTCATTTCATTAATTGAATTAAAGGTCACATGGACACAATTCATTTGAAACAAATTCACAATAATATTAGTGTTTTACTTAAAGTGATTTATTATCACATAATTGTAATGACTACTTACCGTACAAGTCCCTATTGTTTAAAAACTGTTCAGCTTAGCTACAGATTTATACCGAACTTTCATCTGGTGTACGTTACAATGTATGAAATTCGAAACTTTAATTGTATTTATCTGGGTACACAGATTCGAAATATTCTAACCACCTACAGAATATGTTTCAATATTTCTCAAACTTCTTTATGAAATTGTCTGTAACGACTTGTTAAGATAATCAGGCCTTGTACTCTCAGGTTCACATGATTAGGTATTATCACAGATCACTGTTACAGCACTGGAGTGACAACCTGTACATATAGATCTACTGATCACCCTCCAGGTCACATGACTAGGTATTATCACAGATCACTGTTACAGTACTGGAGTGACAACCTGTACATATAGATCTACTGATCACACTCCAGGTCACATGACTAGGTATTATCACAGATCACTGTTACAGTACTGGAGTGACAACCTGTACATATAGATCTACTGATCACACTCCAGGTCACATGACTAGGTATTATCACAGATCACTGTTACAGTACTGGAGTGACAACCTGTACATATAGATCTACTGATCACACTCCAGGTCACATGACTAGGTATTATCACAGATCACTGTTACAGTACTGGAGTGACAACCTGTACATATAGATCTACTGATCACACTCCAGGTCACATGACTAGGTATTATCACAGATCACTGTTACAGTACTGGAGTGACAACCTGTACATATAGATCTACTGATCACACTCCAGGTCACATGACTAGGTATTATCACAGATCACTGTTACAGTACTGGAGTGACAACCTGTACATATAGATCTACTGATCACACTCCAGGTCACATGACTAGGTATTATCACAGATCACTGTTACAGTACTGGAGTGACAACCTGTACATATAGATCTACTGATCACACTCCAGGTCACATGACTAGGTATTATCACAGATCACTGTTACAGTACTGGAGTGACAACCTGTACATATAGATCTACTGATCACACTCCAGGTCACATGACTAGGTATTATCACAGATCACTGTTACAGTACTGGAGTGACAACCTGTACATATAGATCTACTGATCACACTCCAGGTCACATGACTAGGTATTATCACAGATCACTGTTACAGTACTGGAGTGACAACCTGTACATATAGATCTACTGATCACACTCCAGGTCACATGACTAGGTATTATCACAGATCACTGTTACAGTACTGGAGTGACAACCTGTACATATAGATCTACTGATCACACTCCAGGTCACATGACTAGGTATTATCACAGATCACTGTTACAGTACTGGAGTGACAACCTGTACATATAGATCTACTGATCACACTCCAGGTCACATGACTAGGTATTATCACAGATCACTGTTACAGTACTGGAGTGACAACCTGTACATATAGATCTACTGATCACACTCCAGGTCACATGACTAGGTATTATCACAGATCACTGTTACAGTACTGGAGTGACAACCTGTACATATAGATCTACTGATCACACTCCAGGTCATTATAAACATATAACTAATTATAACAGACAACAGAATTGGTAAATAATCAACTTTTTATATCTACCAGATGGATCAAAATGTAAGGAACTTTCAAAGTGAAGAAGTTCATTACTTATGACTTTGTCTCATATTCTTCAATCCATGAATATCAACACTGCATTGAAGACTCAATTAATCCTCATGTACATTAAATGTATTAACTAAAGTCAGTAGATATATTGTGTCTTGTACATGTACAATTATTTCACTTCAACTGTGCAATGATCTCAACAAAATATTTCTTTAAATGAGAATTTCAATTTATACAGTCGAGCAATGTGATGATGAGGTCAATCAATTAGGGTACTCACAGAAACATCATAATTTGGATAGATGTATGGTAGTATTTCACTCACGTGATCACAATATTTAGATGATGGGCTATCCATAGATAATGTTATAGAATAAGATGGACTAAACAATATCTGAAGTATTTCATAAAACATAAAATAATTCAACAACACCACCGTCAGTACCCGTACCACTGGACTCAAATGCATTTGATTTATTTAAGGGCAAGAAACCGAAATTCATGGACATAGGACTAGATTTAGTAGGTTGTCCACGGTGTTTGATTTTCAGTGCAAATTGCGATACAAAAGCATGTACAAGCAAATAGCTATCTCTTACCACCCAGTTAGAAATAAAAAGTTTGTCGCAAACAAATCGAATGTATAAACATTAATTAACTAGGTCAAAGACATATGTACCGCCAGCAGACTTTATCAACTAATACAGGACATTGTAGATCATCATTGATATGTTTACAACAAAGTTTGATTACTAAGGAAAACAATATTAAATGCAAAAATCTACAGTTAAAAATATGAGAATCAAATTTTTATTTTAAAGCGAATTTTTGACAAAGTATCCCACAAATGTTTTCATCGCATGGAGCATTTTTCTTCCATTGTTGACTTACCTGAAACAAAGTTTTAAGATAAGTTATGACTTACCTACTTGGATATAAAAACCATAAACCCCGCTATCAGACTTCTGTTGGAATTTCATATAAAGGTGATTATGACTATTGGTCAGAGAACTACAGCATATTATTTTGATGTATTTAATTGATTATGTTAATGCCATAATTGATGTCTGGCTATGAATCATAACAGTTAACAAGTGGTTCCTTAATAATACTTTTGGTTATGAATACTTGCGGGCTCAACAAGGATCCAATTAAATATGACTGAGGTTTCACAGTGATCTGCAAAAATAAATAAATATCACACTGTAATGTTTTTATGGTATTTTAGTTATATGTACAGGTAATGTTCCAAACACTCAATTGTGAAGACAACTAAAAATAAATTGTGTCAATTGTTATCAACGATCTACGTTTGATAGTTCTGAGCTCTCCAAGCTTGACAATAGTGCAAACCTCCGTCATATTTAATTGGATCCACGTTGAGCTCGCAAGTATTCATACAAAACGTGGGAAACGGAAATGAGAGCAAAATAATATTCACAAAAATATTGGAATAATAAATCAATCATAATTCTAGACCTGCTAGAATATAATTCTAAAAAATAAACATAAACGTTCCTCATTGGTGATTACCTTTCTTGTCACAAAAATATAAATACCATCAATGACCATACATACATTGAATCTAATGATCAGAACATTACAGATCAAGTGCATGATGAAGAAAGTCTCATCAGCAGTCAATATTTATAATCATATATATCTCAACCAATCGGAGACAAGGATCATCAAATGTCTGTTGTTCAAATTAAATAGTCATAACAAGGTGACCGTAAGTTTAGGCCAATCAGAGGTAAATTTGAAAATTTAATATCTATAATTTTTGAGATGGACACCCCACCCCCATATTCTAACAAGGCTCATCCAGCACAAGTCGATCAAACAAAATCCTTGATAAGTTCATCCGACACTTATCATGAGGGGAAAACACTCTCTTGAGACCAGGTAGTTTTAAAGTTATTATTATAGTTAAAAACCTTTGGAAAAACACTTACTTAAGCCTAGAAAATCTGTTCATGTATTTAGCTTCAAGTGATTAGATACCAGATTATAAAGGAGACACAATGATATTGGTTCTATTGTTATTTGCTGCAATGAAATATTGTCAGATATATTATCAATATAAATGTACACTTAAGACATGTACTGGACATGGGCATTCTGTATGATAATCTCCTGAGCCTTGCTCTCACAAGCATGACTACTCTCACAAAGACTCGTAGACAAGGTCTTTCCATGGAGGAGGGAATGTCACAGTGGTGAACTACAAATGTATACATGTAACATGTTACTGACTCAACTACAGACAGGTTTCCTTTAGTGCACTCAGTAAAACACAGGGCCATTAATTAAGGTGTAGTCCTGGATTTCACCCCAAGTGAAGGTACTCGGAAAAATGACTTTGTACACTTAACTCTGTCAAACAATAAATATATAGTAATTCAACATTTCAATAACAGTAAACAATATATATTGCACTTCTCAGCAGATCTTTGGACATCAGCCAAATGCGCTTATATATAGATAATATTAGTTCTATTTACAGTAATGAAGTCAGACCTAACAAAAGCCGAACTCACAATATAAATGTATACTCTCTAATTTACATCAACACCAAAAAAACAGATAAAATCACTCTCTAATTCACAGTCAGACCTTACAAAACAACAAACACGCTCTCTTATTTCATATATAGTCAGACCTAATTACACATAACAGTAAAATTCACTTACAACTTGTATGTGTACAGATATATTGTACACTGTTTTACAGTTGACCTAACAACTCTTTAATTTAGTCATTGAATTTACCAATATGTCTTGTATAATCGGATAAAAATAATGACCCTGTTAAGCTATCATAAATGTAAAATATTTCTTCCTCTGATAGATATGGAATTCACTACATAGTACTAGTGTGTTTGTGTTTTAATTCGCTTAAATGAGGACATTAAAGACAACCACCCCATTTTGTGTATATTTTGGGATAAAAGACCCAAATCTGTCCCATAGTTTAATAATAAACAGTGTTAGACTTTCTTTATCAACTGTGTTGACTTGCATCCCAGTATTTAACAGAAAGTTTGTTTAAATTCTAGATGACAATGTTCTCAATACATTTGAAAATAGAATACATGTAATATTATAAAAATCTTTCTTAATCCAGTAAAAAATGCTTACATTCTACAGTATAACATTACATTCTACAGTATAACATTACATTCTACAGTGTATTTACAGGGAATAAAAGTACCAAACATAGCACTTACATCTGAACACAATGTCTGAATTTACCCCCCCTTTGCATACAACTAAAACATAAAATGTAAAATGCTACCCCTCCTTTTAACTCATACACAACTATGTTAAACAGTCTAAAAAATCTCACTTCTTACACAGAATTTATCACAAAGTTTAAATTGACCCATCTACTATCATAGAACTTATAAAACTCTTTCTTACATACAACTTCAAACAAAAGTCTTATCAGACTCTCTCATATTAGGGCTAGCGCTATTCCCAGTATAAATCATTATATATACAGGGAAGGAGCAGGTAGGCATATTGGCAGTGGGGTTTAATTAGACAGAAGAAAAGAAATATGGAGTCACAAGGAAGTACCTCCTTTTACCTCTACACTCATATATACAGTTTATAGATATCTTAAATAGCCCTTACTGCTACACTTAGACTACACAGCTGTCAGTTTATCAGCACAGACAGTTTTTGAAAGACTCTGAATGATATCAGTAGACTCTGAGACTGTTTTTTAAATATATATATTTAATACCACCTATATTAAACATTCATCAAGATATCTGAATCTTTTTGACTGAAGTTGGGAGTTCTACAGCACTGACTTTAAGAGGCCACATCCCTCCGATGATACCGGCCTGGACAGAAACACCCATGGCAACTGCCAACTCTGGGTCTATTGACGTGTTGGGATCCTTTCCAAAAAAGTCTCGTATAAGTTCTCGTACTTTTGGAATTCTAGTCGATCCTCCAACTAAAACTATTTCATCCACCTCATCTTTTGGAAGTTCTATAGTTTTTAAAACTGTTTTAATTGGAACAAGAACTTTAGAAAATAAATCCTGATTTAATCTCTCAAATTCTGATCTTGTCATAGTTGCTCTGTAGACAACATCCTGTCCGAATGACTTGAGAGGAATGGCCACTTGAGTGCTTGTCATACTGGTCAGACTGATCTTGACATTTTCCACGTTCATTCTGACACTCTGAAGGTCCTCGCGGTGAGTAAGCTGTTGGTTGTACTGCTTGGCTATGTCCTCTAATATGTGGTTAAATAACCTCAGGTTAAAGTCCTGTCCTCCAAGATGGTTGTTACCTTTAAAATAATCACAAAAATCCATGTAAGACATAGCCCCACTCTTCTGTGTATGGCTATTAGTCACCTCACACATAGTGAGTACCAGTAACTTATGTATGGAACTATCGAAAGTCATAAATACTTCCACGAGCTTTGCCTTTGTATATGATTATTGTGGAGTTTTTTTGGTCAGATATGTGCTCATTTCACCTCTCCAAAATATGACTATATGCATACTTGCAAACTCTCCTGATTTTTGCGGGAAATTCTCTATTTTGAACTGTTAAATTGAATATGTCTAACACGTGAAATTCCTTAAAACTATTCCTATATTCTAAGACCTAATTATTCCATTTGAAAGAACAACTCAAAAGATGCTATTTTTAGCATTATTTATTCCATAGTGGATACATATATTTATTTATGTTTTCATTTTGAATATGTAGAGTCTCCCTCAGGGAAAATTTGAAAGACTGAAAAGTATGTTGACGTTGTTGATTGGAGTTTAAAGATCTATACATATAGCCTCTACTAGTCTGAAGCCAGGGTTACTTCTAAAGCTAAAGTGTCTTGTCCTTGTAAACATTTACAAGTGTTTGATTGACCCCTACCTGCCATGGCCTGTGTGAGAAACATGCCTCCCTGGACGTTGAGGAGGGACACGTCCAGTGTTCCACCCCCTAGGTCTACCACCATCACATTCTGTAGACTTGGCTTAGTGTGGAGTCCATACGCCAGGGCAGCCGCAGTCGGTTCATTGATCACTCGGAACACCTCTAGTCCTACAACAAAAATGACAATTAAGATGATTTGAAAAAGCCTCTAGTCTATTAACAGATGCATAGTAATTAAATACACATATTTGATCATACAGAAATTCAATGTGTGCTGGCTATGGTACATATCTACATAAAATAACGTTACCCATGTAATTTTGAGACCATTTCTAATTTTCAAAATAAATAAAATTTGGTTAAAAAAATCATTTTTAATGGATAATGATAAAGTAATTATGCAAAATTTCATTTCTTGACTGGCAACAGCGAATTATTAAATTAGTGAGTTATTATTTAAGAGGAATGCTGAAAGTTAAGGATCTTCAATCTAAAGTACTTTTGTGATAGGACCTGGTCACCTGAAACTTGAAATCATTAAGCACTGCACTAGGAAACCTTAAATTTAAATTTAGAACTGTATGTTTGATAGCAATTAACTTGATGATTGAAAGTATGAAGTCTCATTTAACAATGGCCAGAAAATTCTACAACACAATGTACTAGTTCACCCTTACCGGTCAAGCTGGCAGCTTTTCTGGTGTAGTTTCTCTGCAAGGCATTAAACTCTGCAGGTACAGACATCACCACTTTAGTGACTGGCGCGCTAAGGTTTGCCTCCGCTGCCAACTTGAGCTTGTTAACAATCACAGATCCAATGTCTTCTGGGCGTAGACGTAATTCAGTGTTGTTCACAGATAAAACAAACTGTGCCAAACCATTTTTGTCCGCTTGAATCTATAGGAATAAAATCACAGTATACTGGTACAATGTATATGAACTGTAAAATCTTGTTCAAGTAATTCCCAATTGTTTTAAAGTTGAAATAATTGGAAAACTATGTAGCTATACAAATTTAAAGATATATTCTTTTCATTTGCATACACATTTAGGAGGGACACATCCATCATGATTAAAATATACAATGTAATTTAGTTAACTAAAAAAAAAAAAAAAAAAACCTTCACATGGCCTGCATGTACTTCTTGTAATTATGTTTATGTTATTTTTTATCACTTGATATATTGCAATTAGTAAATGCAGGCAATGTGAAGTTTGTAATCATTTTTTTCGAGTTAACTTAATTACAACGTAGATATTTTCTTTTTAATTTGTTACACCATGACAGAGTCTAGCCTACCATATGTTAGCAGATAGTTATCTTCTTGAAGAAAATTCTAACCTTAAATGGATAGCGTTTTTGTGCCTGTGCTAATTCCTCCTCTGTCACAACCTTGCCAATGAATCGCTTTGCATCATAGATAGTATTTTTGGGGTTGTGTTCTGCCTGAGCAACAGCTTTGTAGCCTACCAGAACACCATGGTCAGTGAAGGCCACCACACTGGGAATACACTGATGACCATCCTGTACCTCTAGGACATCCACTCTGCCTGTTACAGCATGGTAAACACCCACACATGAATAGGTTGTCCCTGTGGAGAAAAGGTGTAGTGTTGTACATTGTGTAGCAGGAAATACAGGAATAAGAGGCCCAGAGGGCATGTATTGCTGTATTGGATCTACATCTCAGTACCTAATAGTAAAGTTTATATCATTGTAACGGACTGCATTGGTCATTGTTTAGTAGATAAGGTCCCATGGCCACTTTGATTTTGTTCAGTAAAATTGTGTACAGCACCATTTTTGATGCAGAAGTAGTTCAATTCATTAAACCAACTTCCATAAAAATTATAAAATTCCTAACTGAGAAATTCTTTAATTTTACAATAAGAGTTTAATTTATATTTCTAAAATCTTGGATGCTGGCATGGGTAATGGAGTTGAAGAGAGAACAGAAACAGGTCCAGAATTCACTATTGTCTTCATATGCTGTCTCTCACTTGACATATGATACCTTTTTTTAAAACTTACCTAGGTCAATTCCCACTATTTTTGGAGTAGGAGGAGGCAGGTAATGTTGGGCAAAATATCCTGCCATGAAAATTGCCATTATGGCTGTTCCTGAAACAACGTAAAAGAAAGAAATATAATTTTATCAACTATTTTTATGGTTATGCATTTTCAAATTATGGACATCAGGTGAGGTAAAGCCATGACTTAAGAACCTGGTCTGAGCAATATTTATTGAGGCCATGTACCAGTTGTAAATCATGAATAGGCCAAAACTGAAGTTTTATTACACCAAGTATGTCCAGGGCTTTCAGTAGACTCTTACAAGTAAGAGATTGGAAATGATAATTTTTGCACAAATGTACCTTATTGTAGGATTATGTTAAAAGAATGACACCCATTTTTATTCCTAATGTTTACACAAATTTTGTGTTTTATTTCACATTTTTTCTCCATATCATTAATAAATTTGTTACTGTAAACAGTAACTTTTACCGAAATGAAGAATTGTTACTACTATGCAGGTTGTGCCTTACCTGTTAATTAATACATGTATTACTGTCAAGTTGTAAACTACTATTCCAACCACATGTGCTGGACACATTATTATGATGTGTATACACATCACTTGGTTTAAACCTTTTTTGGCATATATCTTTTGCAAAATATTTTGCACATGTTTGCCATTTTACCCGAAACATATTATCAATCACCATATTCAGCAACTTGAAACTCAAAGTGAACAAATGCCATACAGTAGTGGGATAGCATCCTCATTCAGTCATAGGTGTTTGCAATTCTGACTGTAAATTGAGATAAAAATCATTTAAAAAAAGGGTATTACTATACTCTTTTATAGTAATACCCTTATTTTTTTATATGATTTTAAAATGATAAGGCGATCACAGTTGCTGAATCATAGGTGTTTGAAATTCTGACTGTAAATTAATTGAGATAAAAATCATATAAAAAAAGTTATTACTATACTTTTTTATAGTAATACCCTTATTTTTTCATATGATTTTAAAATGATAAGGCGATCACAGTTGCTGAATCATAGGTGTTTGAAATTCTGACTGTAAATTGTGATAAAAATCATATAAAAAAAGGGTATTACTATACTTTTTTATAGTAATACCCTTATTTTTTATATGATTTTAAAATGATAAGGCGATCACAGTTGCTGAATCATAGGTGTTTGAAATTCTGTCTGTAAATTAATTGAGATAAAAATCATATAAAACAAGAGGCCCATGGGCCTTAACGGTCACCTGAGTCTACAGTATTTTTTTGTTTGTTGAAATATGTACCAATTTGAGTAAAAAATAGTTTAATGTTAACTTAACTTTGTCAGGACCATGAGCTGATCATTCCTAGACCAATTTTAAGTGAGATCGGCCTATTAGAATTTAGTAGCAAAATAGCGGCCATGGCAGCCAAATTGTATTTCTGATTGACCCGAAAAATAACAACACTTTGTCAGGACCATGAGCTGATCATTCCTACAAAGTTTCAGTTCAATCGGCCTAGCAGAACTTGACTTTAAGTTTGAAATAGTTTTTTCAAAATGGTGGCCGTGGCGGCTATATTGGATTTCTGAACGACCCGAAAAATAACAACACTTTGTCAGGACCATGAGTCGATCATTCCTACCAACTTTCAGTTCAATCGGTCCAGCAGAACTTGACTTTAAGTTTGAAATAGGTTTTCAAAATGGCGGCCGTGGCGGCCATATTGGATTTCTGATCGACCCGAAAAATAACAACACTTTGTTAGGACCATGAGGCGATCATTCCTACCAACTTTCAGTTCAATCGGCCCAGCAGAACTTGACTTTAAGTTTGAAATGTAAAATGTTTACGGACGATGGACGACGACGGACGAAAACGGATAGCAATAGGTCACTTGAGCTAAAGCTCAGGTGACCTAAAAAGGTATTAATATACTTTTTTTTATAGTAATACCCTTATTTTTTCATATGATTTTAAAATGATAAGGCGATCACAGTTGCTGAATCATTTTTGAAATTCTTTGAAAAATCATATAAAAAAGGGTATTACTATACACCTTTGTCCGAATTATTCTGACGTTTTATCGACTTTTTTCATATCGGTCTGTCGTCGATTAACGTCAGAATAATTCGAACTATATACACCTTTGATTCAGCAACCGTGATCGCCTTTTAATATCATTGTATGTGGCTGTGTCTCAGCGTCAGAATATAATGTTATAAGATTTCGGTTTCAGAGGTGGCTGATGTATTTTTAATTTGACATCAACTATAGAGAAGAGGTCTACCTCTGAACTGCAACGTTACAACATGGATTCAGAGATTCGCCGTACCTATGCAGGCCATAGTGTTTTGTCTGTCATCTACATGTATGAACGTATTTAGAAACAGTAGACTAGCCCATTATCATTGACAAGACTGTTTTAATGGTAAAAGATCGAGATAAAATACATACCGATCACTATAAATGTGGCTCCCATGTCACGAGTTGTATGTAAAAAAGCAAATAAGTCTAATCAACCATATGCCACTGTTCTGTCAAAGAACCGGATATCAACGTGTTTTTCTGAGTCATTCAAACGCTTGGAAAGGGAAATTGTAATATTACAAAAATAGGACACGACTGCGGACCGGATGCTTAACTTCTATATTTTCTCCATAACTACTTTTAACGTATTGGTTTAAAAAAGTAAGCTGTTCGAGTGTTTTTACCCATTACCCACAGATATTGTTACTTGAATACAGACATCCATATTTACAATACAATGAATCTCTATTTAAAAACAGAGATATCTGTATTTGACAGTTGAGTGGCATTTTATAAATATATATATATATGTATTAATTAAACAGCATCCTTTTGTTAAAATAAAAATAAGAATACTTTAAAAAAACCTCATTTACATTTAGCTATATTTACATTCTTGATGTTTGTTCTGTACATGAATCAGCAACTGCCATTAGACCATGAATACACTATGGATACAACGATTCTCGTGCAACCGGTCAGCTGATTTCACACACAATGACACGCATAGTTCCGTTTCTGAAAAGAGTTATATCCCCTTCTCCGAGATAACTTAGTCGCGAGTAATAATAATAAACTTTGCAAAAATCATAAATGGTGCACCATTAATGGTACTATTATTATTATTATTATTATTATTATTATTATTATTATTTTTGTTTTTTGAAATTAATTTATCAAATACTGACTTCCGACTAGCAATCGGTTCCTCGTGGTCGTCACGAACTAACACCAAACGTCCGGCTGGGTAATCCCCGTGACATCAACTTGCACATTAAACCTAGAGAACTTAAATTGTAATGACACAGGGAACTTCATCTTTTAATTTAACATCATTTACATCTGAAGTGGTGTTTTTTTTTAGCAAACAGCGTACATTTAACTTCAAATGAGCTGTATGCCTAATGCCGACGGGTATCCTGGATAGTTACTATGGTGACCGATGATTTGAAATAGTGCGGACATAAACTTTTTAAAATATATAATATGCGGTGTTAAATGCCAAAAAAAGCCCATCAAATAAGATCAACTTATAAAAATGAAAGGAATATTAAATTTTGGTTATTAAATTCTAGATATATATTTTTCGTTTCAACAAAATCAGCTAATCGGCGAAAGTTGAACATTTGAAGGTTGTGTGTAGGCTTGAGTTATGGCTGTTCCCTTTTTATGGTTTTCTGTCCGATACTGATATCAAAATTAACAAATTTACAAAAAGTGTTGTAACTTTTTTTATTGTAGTTCATCGTAACGTAAATATATGAATTGAATGGATTTTTTTCATGTACATTGCGGCAATGAATAGCAGTAGCTGATCTACATATCTTCTGAGGAGCGCTAACGCGCTCCACAGGATATGTACGCTCCGCAGGATATGTAGATCAGCTACTGCTATTCATTGCCGCAATGTACATGAAAAAAATTCCATTCAATCCCTATGTAATAACGTTATGATGTTATCTGAATTCAACATTTATGCAACGTTATACAAACGTTGGTTTTATTGATAATATTGATATACATGTATGTACGCGTGGAGACGTGCCAATTTCGTGCACAACAACTAAAACCTACGCTGGCATATCCTTCACCAAAGACCTAAAATCGAGTAACACTATCAAAGATGCTTGTGAGAAAGGAAGAAAATTGCTGAACTCCCTAATAGGCATAGGAATCCACCCTGATGGACTCAACCCATTGTAAAAAGTGTTGTTACACCCTGCATATTGTACAGATGTGAACTGTGGAACAGTTATAATAAGGCATCAACGAATAAGCTTCGACAAACACAAATATATGCCAGTAGGCGGCGTTTAGGGTTGCCGAAAACATCAGCAACCGCTATTCCGTCTTTGCGTATTGCAGAGTTATCTTCTCTTGGGGGCAGGTATTGATTGTTACGTCACTTGTTTGTGAGAGGAACGTCATCAAATTTTGAGAAAACGACGGTAATTTTCTCACACAAACTAATGACGTAATAATCAATACCTGCTCCCAAGAGAAGATAACTCTGCAATACGCAAAGACCGAATAACAACTCATCGATCAGTCCCTAGGTTTATTGGACATCTGGGGCGAGGAAGGAAGCCGAAAACTAACACGCTGGAACAAACTTTGTCATGGAAATATGAAGTTTATATGGAAAATGTTGTTTATAACCAGACTATGTGATTTTGTTTTATTCAGAATTTTCATTAATGCAATGTACATGTACAATAAATAGCAATACATTCACTCATTTGTATACTGGCACATACATACATAAACCTATATCTGTTATGTCCGCATTTGTCAAAGAGTACATCCACACTAGCACAGACTTACATACTCATTTCCGTCTATTTTTACATTTCAACATTTTATTACCCACATACACGCATCCATCCATGTGTCTGACATATATATGTCTCAATCGTTCATTGCTATATATATGTCTCGTGTAAAAATAGAACACATATCCACCTTCATCACATATGGTATATATCTTCGTGTTGGAAAAAATATCTGCACTAAATTATATATAACCGCATATATTTTATAACTCATGTCCATGTCAAAAACACCAATGTCCATGCATAAACATAATTAATATGGTTTCACCATACTCACATGCGTTGTACGCACACATATACCCATATGCATGATATTAGACATTTTCAGACATTTGTGTATCTACTGACTATGGATATATAAATGCCAAGAGAAGAAATATCAGTCCCACACAAAAAGAAGGGAAGAAAAAACCACCTTATAAGGTAAATGAGATATTTGCACAGACTGTCTACTGAGTGCATTGCATTGTCTTTATAAGAAAGAGAAATTGAGATAGAGATTGAAAAAATAAAAATAAAGGTAGAACAGGGAACATAAAGAGAAGAAGAGAGTTAAGATAAGTTGGGGTGAGATGTTGGAACAAGCGGTGGATATACACTCCTGTATGTTATATTATAAATAGATAATAAATCGGCTTCGCAGATTCCATACCCACGAAAAGAAGCAGAAATTAAAATATGTATGATAGAGTACGTCTTCAAAATAATAATAATAATTATAATAATAACTATAAAAAATGTACTAAAACCTAATTAGTTTGTCCCTTTTTTTCCAGTCATTTTCAAATTTATGTTTAGCTTTTTCATCCTTACCATTAGCAATGTATTTTTGAATCAGGTATTTGTCTTTTATTATGTTTACAAGTGCGTTTATATTCAATGAGTTATGTAAACATCTCATTCTGTAAATATACTGCTTTATAATAATGATGATTTCGTTATCAACTCGATTACTGGGAAGAAAATTCTGATGAAGAAGGTCAAACAGAAAAGATTTTTTGTTTTCTGAAAATGGGATTAAAAGAGCTTCCAGTAATGTATCAAAACGTTCTAGTAATCTTTGTACTTCTTCACATTCCCAATATATGAGTTATTGTTTTCTGGTTTAGGGTTGCATAGTACACAAAGAGGGGAGACACAATTAAATCTCCAATGGTATATATCTTCGTGTTGGAAAAATGAACAATCAAATATCCAACATGTTTTCTGAAAAACTCGCAGCCCTCATCTGTTGATGTCATTTTCAGCAACAGTACATCTTTTTATTTTTATTTAATACGTTTGCTTTTAACTGTGGTCTTAGTGACTGGCATCATATGATTGGGACTGTTTTTAAAATGTAAACCAGTTATGAAAGAAAAGAGGAAATTTAGATGTTTTAAAATTTTTGATGAACAAACTTTTAGTGATGATATAAGTAAAATCCCTTTCCACGCAACTTATGCTTTTGATGATGTTGATGATATTTATTGGGCCCATGAAAAACTTATCACTGACATTATTGATGAATATGCTCCTGTAAAAGAAAAAGTTGTAAAACAGAAAAAGTGCCCATTTTTTAATTCAAACTTGCGTTATTAAAAAATATACTGGTTGCAAATCAGCCTCTAATTGGGAGGCATATCGTAACCATAGAAATTATGTGTCTAAATTACGTAAACAGTCTATGCGCAACTATTTTTTCGAACGCTGGTTAGGTGGTCTCAAATAAAAAAAAATCCTGGCCCACCATTAAACCATTTTTATCAAATAAGGGCTCTACACAATGCAATAATGTATTTTCAAAGGAAAATGAGGCCATTATCAGTGATCAAACAGAGGTCATCAATGTTTTTAATAATTTTTATGTAAATGTTGCTTCTGATATTGGTACAGAAAATTCTTCTAATGAAACTATTTTAAAAGAGATAAGGGCACACAATAATGATCAGTCAAAAGTTTTTTTTAATCATGTCTATCCTTTCGTGGTTGAAAAGGCTATCTCTATGGTGAAGGTGAAGAAGGCCACTGGTATCGATGGCATATCTTCAAAACTCATTAGAGCCTGTTGTACTGACATCAGTGTGCCTCGGAGCGACATGACTAACCACTGTTTTGATAAATCAGAGTTCCCTTGCAGACTCAAGAAGGCACAGGTGGTTCCTATTTTTAAGAAATAAGATATTTTAGATAAACAAAACTACCGACCAGTCAGCATTTTACCTTGTATATCGATTTTTTTTGAAAGAACCACTGGCTGCCTTGTCTAATGTTTTTCATTCTAACGTGTTTTTTTCTCTCTTATATGATGCATATAATATTGTTTCCGTAAGCATTGATTTTACATATAGCTCGAAAAGAAATAATATGTATGGTTTCATACCAGATATCTTTGACGTGATGCGTAAATTTAATACATCGTCATTTTTCTTTGAATATGTATTAGATACATCTATTGTAACGTATGATACCACTAGTATCTGAGTGGTATCATGCGAAACGGAGAAGTGCTTTATGTCATAAACAATAACTTCATAGATATGGAATTATTCATACTAAAAGAAGCCCAAATCCACTTCTTACACTAAGCCTAAAATACTTGAAATGTACTTGGGAATCAGTTACACTATTGTAACTTAACGAAAATGTCATGTACATGGGAACTAGAAAATGTTGTATACATATTATGCAAAACATGTACAAAGGATATAGTATTG